CATTATGTGTGAAACAATATATATATATATATCAGGAGTTTCCAGCTTACATATGAGGCTGGGGGTCGCAATTAAAAACACCAGTCAAATGGTGGGCAGCTACTTTATCAACATTTTGTATATGACTCTTTCTTGTTTGAAGGAGCATTAAAGATTAATGTCTGATTCAAAACTATTGAATTACAAATTAAATTAAGAAGTAGATATTTGCCTGAGAAATAAATTTTTTTGCACAGTTGGTATATTACATTTCACAGAAACGAAGAGATTAGGTTTGTTCAGCAAGGAAAAGTACTTTAAACCAATATGGAGTTTTTACGAAAATTGTCTGCAGAAAAGGACAACTAATATATTTTAGTTGTCAAAAAAAGGCTTGGTGAGCCAGAAGGGGCCCGCGGGCAGCCAGTTAACAACCACTGATATATATTGTTTTACGCACCTGAAACCGGGGCTTGCACTTGTTTACGTTCGTGTATCAATTAGGTAACAATGTAATGCTATACGTTAAATAAATACAAATAGGAAGTATGTAAAGAATTTCCTGAATAAAAGCCCATTATATGCATGTTTAAATATAGAAGTATTGCATATAAACTCATGCAAAACATGTAATTATTAAAAAACTGCAATGTGTCTAATAATTTGATCTAATTATTGCAACAATAATATAATACCTGATAGTAAGTATTTCATATTTATACAATATATCGTCTAATTTATCCAATCGTCGAATTTATATGATACATCGCTTAATTTAACCAATTGGACAAGGATTGGACCCGAAAGAAAACAAGTGCAAACTGGTTTCAGTCTCGTATAAAACAATAAAACTCTATAGTATCACCTGATAATTAAGATTTTGCATAGACTCTTATAGTGAGTCTAATAATTAGGCTATGGGGCTGTGCATATTTATGTACATGTATACATATATTGAGTATCAATATAATACTTTTTTGCACAAAAAGCATGTTTTATGTATTTTTCCATTAAAAGCAACTTTTAGAAATTTTTAAAGTTTTAGATTTTTTGTATGCTTCTTAAAAGATCTATTCAAAGCATTTAAAGACTTGAGTAGATGCAAAATGTGAGTATATTTAAAATACAATGGACTCTTGATCGATACTGATTACAATTTATTATTATTAATTATTAAAATATAGTGACTACGGCGTGTGACCGAATACCATCACCGAATATCATGCTCTTCATAAATATGTAAATCATGCGACTTTTCATTTTTCGGGCCTTTGAGACACATCTGCCTGGAGATAAATATTATCTATTAGTGGGCTGCGCCCCCAGCTCGCTAACGCTCGCCAACCCCCGAAAATTGCTACGCAATCTTGCATGATTTGCTTCGCAAACAAAGCTCGCTTCGCTCGGTTCTAACTTAGGTACATTGCAAATGCACAAAATTCTAAGAATTCAAAACTATCATTCAAATCCATATAAAAAATTTTTTTTTAAAAAATTACATATTTTTAGGAAATACTGAGTCATTAAAATAAATTTGAATTCAAATAAATGACATGTAATTCGTTAAACCTATTAGAAATGTGCTATAGTATAAAATCTTAAAGCGTAACAGCACGACTGAGACTCATTTTTCAATGAATAACTAATAAAAATAATAAAACAAATAAATTCGTTCTATAAATCAAAAATCGTCAAATAAATTCGTAATACATAAATTCGTGAAAAAAAGCGCTTTCGACAAAATACTAAAATAGAGGTCTATCGACAAAGACTACTCACTTCTGCCTAGCTTAATAGTATGAGATTGCCGCAGCTGATAGGGTGAATTTCGGAAGAGATCACATTTGGTGAGAATGCTCACTCTGTTTATTTCAGTTTCCGTTTTTAAAAGCGCTATATGTTAAGCCACCTAGGCTAGATTTGGCATGTGACATTTTTAGCGGCAATCATTGGTCGATTTTCTAGCGTTGCCATTCGGGGAGTTGTAATGAGGCTTTTTTTGTCGCCTTGTAAGAGAAATATATATATAGATTCTGCTTCATTTTCCTAAGTTATTTGCTTCAAACAAATTGTTTTTAATGTTTAGTATGCATATGACTGCAGTATGAATAAGACTAAAATTATTTTTATAAGAATGAAAAAATTTTAAACATGCATTTTGCATATGTTTTTTTCTATATCAAAATGTAGCATATACTTACAAGTAAAGACAATGTATCAAAATGATTTCAGATTTGTAATGTAAAAACAATTTTGAAATGAGCTATTTCTCTCTTTTTATTTGAACAGACAAGAAGTAATGCAAATTGCATTCCTTTATTGTGAAATAAACTTCATTCCTTTTGAGTACTTTCCTTTTCATTTCAATGTCACGTAGAGATTTATTTATTTGCTCCTATTTCATGCAATTTTATGATGTTTTACACACGATTTCAATTAAAGCTCAAGATGCATCATTTCTTTAAATAATGATATACTTTACGATGCACTGTGGAAATCTTCGTATCAAATTATGGCATTAAGTACCGGCACTTTGGGTCAACATTCGAAAAAATTTTTTTGCCGCAAAATCTCTATCTTTATCGTAAAATATTATTAAGTAATTTTTACAGCAATTTTTATTTAATTAGAGTGATTTAGTGATTTTACGGTAATTATTACTGCAAAAAATTACGGTTAATCAGAATTTTTTGTTCTGTAATATATTTTGTTAAAAATAAATTTACGGTGAAAAAAATTGACTCCCTTATTGCTGGTACTTTTCATCATAATTGGCAGTAAGTATAAGATTCCAATTACTTTATCCTCAAATGTATTACCAATGTTCTCAGCACACCTTTTCGCACAACAGAAATATGGGAATTCAGTGGGTATTATGGCTAACCAGCTTACCTCTGTTTCTTTTTTAAACTTGAAAAAAAAATATATATAAAAAATATTTTTCCTATTTATAGGCATTTTTTACTGCTTTATTTTGATATATCAATGAAATAATTTAAAAGTATTTTTGATTCATCAAACTTTTTCAAGCAAGTTTCTTGTGACAGCGAAACAGAGTAAAAAGAACATTTTATTCACCAAAATATTTTATAAATCTGGATTTTCTGTGAGTGGTGGACATTTTCTTATTGGACAGTTAGGACATCAGAGAATTTCAGGATTATTTTTAGCTCTTGCCCTTAGTGGACATGTAAGTCGAAAATCACAACTTTGAGCATCAATTATTGATAACGTAAAAAGAAGAAAAGCAAGGATGATTTTATTCATTTTTCTTTTCTTGAGCTTCCTAAAATAATTTTAATCTGCTACATACACTGAATATAATTAAAAAAATATCTAATTTAATACGCCATTTTGAAAGATAAAATCATCCATTATGTGTGAAACAAAAACTATTGCAATTTTATTTGAGTGGCAAATGTAATTGGAAAAAATATAAAACTAACAAATTTGTCGTTCACAAGTGTATATTTTAATTTCCTTGATATTACTAGCATTTTGTTTCAAATAATTAAATTTACTACTACTAACTAAATGTTAACAACTATCAATGGTTAATTATTCCTTGTAATTTAGAGCCCTACCTAGAAGACTAGGGAATCCTGGATTAAGCATTCGAACAAACTAGCCCGTAGGAAATATTGTTGAGTTAACTAACCTATATTTGCGTTACATGGAAAGGAAAACTACGAAAAGCTCTCAAGTTTTGCCCGATGGAGACAATTTATCAACCCAAAACCAGTCTATCACTGAGGATGTTTTACAGCAGTACTGTGTTCAGAGTAATCGGGGAGTAAAATTGGTATGAACCATCCATCGCTGGGATTCGAATACGTTTTACCACATTGAGACGGGAATGCTCTATCCCTCATCTACCAAGGGTCGAGATACTTGTATACGCTATTTATGCTTAGTTTACAATACTGTATTGCAAATGTATCTTTTCTGAAATATGTCCATTTTATGAAAAGTTTGCGATTCAATTCACGACCAACACGTTTACAGCTAATTAAAGTTTTTATCTACATTTGGTTATTTTTCTATACGTTTACATCTACATTTAGTAATTTATCTGTTCATATGGGTAACGATTTACCAAAATTTCTATTTTTTAAAATTATATTTCTTAGTACCAACGACTGCAAAATAATGCACTTCGTCTTGTCCCCGGTGCTGTCAAGACCACACCCATTGACGCACTTCCGCTATATACCAATGAATTACCTATACAATATGAAATAAAGAAATCAGCTTTAAAGCTCTATCAGAAACTAATTCGCCTACCTCATAGCGTTATGTTGACCAAGTCTGAACCTTGTAGGCTGAAGACTCAGGACGGCTACCTTCAAGCTGTATTAAAAGTGATGGATGAATTTGATATGCCTTCCCGGATTGAACCTTTGCTTCCCCCCTTAAACCCTATGGAAGCTAGCAAAATATTATATCACCGGGACCTTATGAGTCCTGTCTTAAAAGCCCAGGATTGTACAGCAGCTTTATTCAGCACGGGGATGGAGACTATCCACAATCGTTTTCCTCTTGAAGCTTGGTTGCACATATATACAGATGGCTCAAAGCTTGAGATGGATACCGTTGCCGGTGCTGGTATTTTTGGTGAGCATTTCACCCACTATATTTCGTTGGGAACAGTCAAGACAGCTTTTGATGGTGAGGTTGAGGCAATCAAAGTAGCTTTAACTCATTTAAATGCTCGTCCTTCTCTTTTCGATCAAGCTGTCATCTTCTCGGATTCCCAAGCTGCGATTCTGGCCATTGCCAACTACTCTCAAGCCCCTAGCTCTTTGTCCATTGTGAAATGTAAATCTTTAATGACAGATATAGGTGAAAAATATAAAACAATTGCCTTACAATGGATCCCATCCCACTGTGGTATCCCCGGCCACGAAAAAGCTGATGCACTGGCCAAAAAAGGTTGCTTTGTTAATCAATCCCCAAATAACTTGGTTAGCTATAAATCCACTTCGTTAATGATTAATAATGCAATTAAGACAACACATATATCATTGCTAAAAGAAAGGACGAAAGAAAAATCGTGGGGAAATGACATCATTAATCTCTCCGATTGCCCAAGAAGCAGTGCTGTAGCTGCCTTTCGTATTGCTACCAAGCACGATTGCTTATACTCCCATCTTTTCCGTCTTAAAATAGTGGATAATCCTGCCTGCCCCCTCTGCCGCAGTGGTGCGACGATGAATGCTGAACATCTTTTCAACTGTTCAGTTCTCACAAAGAACTGCATCTACTCCCGATACTGGGAGGCCAGAGAACTTTTGTTCAATTTAAGTTCTTGATTTAATTTTTGTGTTTGATGTTTTGCTTTTGTTTTCGTATTTTGTGCATTTCATATCTTTCTGTATTTGTATTTTTCTTTTCTTTTGATCTTTGTACGGCGTTAGGATAATGTCTATATCTCCTGCTGCATTGGAAATAAAAAAAAAATTCTTAATACCAAACATTTTGTAAAAAATACGCAACTTAAAAGGTTATTTCATCAAATGATTGGTTTTTATGCTATGCTCCAAAAAATTATGACAGACCTCGAAATTTATAGTATACTCTTTTATGAAACTCTCTTTCCATTTTTTCTTACTTTTTAATTTATTTTTAGTATTCATATTTCATAATTTTTAGTATTCGAAGACCCAAATTCTTTTGCTCCATTTTTTATTTCTTCAGTTTTTTATTTCATTAAATATTTATAAAATAGCTGTTTAGTGCATTTAGATAGGAAAATTTTTACTATAATTTATAAACTTATTTTTTATCAAAAAGCATAGTTTTGATAGTATTAACAAGAAATTAAGAAGAAACAATCATTTTTACACTGCTACACAATTTTCTTATTGTTTTATTCTCCTTAAGGTTTAATGTTATAAAAAACGTTTAATATAGTGCTATAGACAATAAAATGCACAATTTTTGTAGAAAACAAATTTTTCATAAACTTAGGACAGAGTGTTAAAAGCAGCTCACTTCCTCCCTTTTCATTTCTTATTGGCTTTTCCAGTAAACACTTTTTTTAGAAAAAAATATGAATCTTAAAAAAAAACTGTTTTGCAGGAAATTTTAAATAATTTATTTTCTACACTACATTTTTTCTTGGACTTCAAGATTTTTTATGCATTTAAAAATTTAAATAAAAACTTTAATGGTATCACTCACGAAATCCTCATCTCTGTTAGAGGGATTTACCATGATATACAAAACTCTCTCAGCAGGAGTTCAAAAAAATAAGAGCAAACAAATCCATAAATAAATGAAATAAAGCCGTAAATTAAAAACTACTGTTTAAAAGAGGGCATTGTTCCATTTCACTTATTTCACCACATCATTCAATTACAAAATTTATTGTATTTTGATTCAATTCGAATAAATTATTACACAGTATATCTATATAATTCTTTATTTTTAAAATAAACAAAATATGTTAGAAAATATCGCAATCAATTTTCTGCTTTAGAGTTTTGCACTTGCCTTTAAGTTCCTGAAAACAAAAAATGAACAATTTCGAAATTATACAAAAATGAATTGCAGATTATTTTAATGCAATAAAAAATGAAGTTTGAAATTAATTCAAACTATTATTTTTTTTATTACCAAAACCAATAAAGAAGCAATTTATCAAGAGAGAATCAGAGGGTTAATATTAGTTAATCAATTTCTAAAGTCATAATTATCTGTTTTAAAGTTCAACAAATAATTTGTAAATATTTCATTACAAAGCAATGGTTTTTATTATTAATGCCGGAAGTAGTGGTCCTAAACGTTATTTTTAGTTCATTCTGATAAAGATTTGTTAATTTCAGTAAAATCAGTGCCTAAAGCTTAATTTATTTATAATCTTTGAATGACAAATGTAAGTTTTGAAATAAAATCAATTAATTCCTATTTTTTCGGGTCTTCAAACTTGAATTTTCACATTCAAGGGCGATCGATGATCTGAAAAAGTAAAATTTTTAAATAATATATTTTTATTAATGTTACCGAAATCTGTGTTAAAAAGTAAAAGAAAACGTTTCCCGCTTTACGATTTCTTAAAGCGCCAAAATTTTAATTACAGCTTTGTGCCGGATTTCAGTTTGATTATTATTAATTGTTCAGTCAAATAACCATAAATAAGATGATAATCAAACTATTAACTATAAGAAAAACCGTTTATTAATTGATTTCATCTAATGCAGTTAATCAACCAGAATTTTATAGTACCAATTAAGCCCACTTAATGAAGCCTCTTATTTTCTTGCAATTGTGAACACATTATAGCAGAGACACATAATCTGTTTGTCTTATGGCTGAGAGAACGGGGGTTCGAGTCCACTACAGTATTTTCTCCATTAGCTTCAGCACATGAAGAGTTTCCAGCGACCTGCACTCTCCAATTTCTTTAACAAAAAGCCTAGCTCTAATATCAAGAAAAATTCTTTTTTTTACAGTTTTGAAACCATTTTACCTAAAAATGGTTGAAAAACCGTAGAGTTTGGTAGAGTTTGCATAGTTTTAATAGCATACCGTACACGGTTTCAATACAATTGGGCAAAAAATGTTTATTGACGTAAATTTTACGGTTAATTAGAATGACAGTCTACTGCTGATTATTTGACTATTGTTACGAAATGTCAAAATTGGATAATAATTAAGAATCGAAGTGCATTTCATTATTTATAGGTATTTTTAGGAAAAATATTTCTAAAATTACCTTCTATTCTCCCAAATAAACTCAATCATCAATTGGTCTAATCATGAGTGGAGGGCACTTTCTGTTAGGACATGATGGACAAATTGGGGTATCAGGACTTCTTTTAGATCTCGCATTTAGGGGACATATAAGGGGTGGACAATGGCAGTCCTTCGCATCAACTGTTGCCAAGGTTACAAGAAGTAAGACCATAATAACTTTATACATTTTCTTAGTTTTGCTTTCCTGAAACAAATGTATTACTAAGTATTTTTTAATCAATATTTTATTCAAAGAATTTAGTGAATTAGCTAGTTAATGATGACACAAAATTCGATTAAATAAAAAAACTATGCACTCCTGTTAAAATAATTATTAAAGTTATCCCTCTTATTTAAAATTAAATATGTATTAAAAATCCATAAATCATCAGAAAATATAGGTGTCAAAAAAGTGCAGAATCCCTTTAATTAATGACTTTAGGAGATTCGAAAAAATAAAATAAATAAAAATACCCAAAATTATATTTAAAAAAAATTATACTAAACAATTTTAAAACTACTATTTCACTAAAAATTATAGAAACGAGTTCATTGAAAATTTAGATTTTAATATAAAGAAAAGTACAAAGCTCAACCTAAATTATTTACTAATCCAAGACCCTTAAAATTATCTTTTCTTTCAATGAAATTTTAAAATCTCCTTTAAGAAGTTTTATGCAAGAGTTGATAAAACTATACCTCGCATGACTGATAACTTTAAACAAAATCAAACTATTTATCTATTTCAAAATTTTTTTAGAATGAAATCCCCTAAATCATATTAATTCAGAGTGAATGAAAATCTGCTGAAAAACTTAATTCTGATATTAAAACTAATATATAAGGTCTTTGCACCATTTATTTGGTAATTTTTCCGTTTTTATGTTGATGATTTACCTGTAATTTTGGTCTAAAAATGTTACTGTCCTACTACCACAGATTTAGTAATAAATACAAAACTGGAAAGTAAAATTTGACGAATAAATAGTTTTATGTCATGCTCGAAGGTATCATGATTAAATTACCTAGTTTTACCACATTTACGAAATTTCATCATGTATTTTAAAATCATATGTTATTGTTAATTTTAAAATCCTTTCTCAAACACTTCTGAAAAAAAAATGACCAAAATGTTTGGTGTTACAATAGCAACAGAAGCATGCTAAATTAAAAAAATTCCGGTAGATTTAGCTGAATATTTTTTTTAGTGCAAGCAGCTAAGATTAATTAATAATTTTGTGATCAACATAAATAATGAAGATAATATTAACAGATTATTAAGTTTTTATGGAATAAATATTAGACCATTTTTTGGGCTAGAAATGCTTGTGCTTTTAAAACATTTTTCTTAAAGTTTTATTCCTAAAATTTGCTTAAATCTATTCCATACCTTGATTCGATATAAAACACAACATTAGTAACTCTATTGTTGAAAAATAAAATCCGGCTACATTGGTTTTATTTGTATATAAAACAATATAGAAATTTATAAATATACATATTTATCAATTAAAAATATATAATTATTGAATTTATTATTTATAAATTTATAATAAATTACAAAAAAAATATACTAATATTAAATTGAATTAAAAGAACAAGATAATTCTCACTTACGTAAAAAACTGAAAAATTGAAGCTATGTAAGATTTGTGATCAACTTATAAAAATAAACCTTTGAATCATGAAATAAGGATTTTTATTCTTGAACTAATTGTTTTATCAGATTGATAGTAAAATAAATCGCATTAAAGTCTTTTGCAATAAATTACATCAATGTTTTCAGAATTGCGTATCATTGCAATGACACGGAAAGATTTATTTCCGCAGTCTGGCTTCATGCTTCACTTTATATTCTTGTCACGATTAAAATTGCAACTTTTGTTTGAGTTTCATTATTTTTCTAAAAATACGATGCATTTAAAACTAAATCGTATTCGGAATTTGTTTTCTTGTTCAGTGCTTTATGCATTTGCATACCCAGCGAACTTAGTAAAAGATCATAATCTTCATAGTAATAATAATATTGTGGATTTTAGAGTCTAATTCCTTTCTAATAAAGAAAGGGTTTTCTTTGTGCGATAAATGTATAAAATTTAGCTGTGTGAAAAGAACAGAATTAAAGTCACGCAAATGATTTACAAATTCAGAAAAATACAAAATAAGTAACATTTAAAATAATAAATCAAAATAGAAAAGGGCTTAAAGCAGCTAAACCCAAATTTGTTTTATTTTAATTTTTAAAATAAATAATAAAAGGTAATCTCTCATAATAAACTGCAGAATTTATGCAGTTGTTGATAAAAATAATTTTACAGATATTTGATAATTGAAAACTAGTAACTGTTCTAGCTCACTTTTTCATGATTGATCACAAAAACGCTATTTTTCACTGCAGTTATTGTTTTCGAAATTTGATAGTTATTTACGAAGCAGATTTTTATGACTTATTCGAGTACTAAGCAGAATTAAATAAAACCCGATTTAAAGTCTATATGACACTTTGTTTCAAGGTAACGAGCATTTTTATGCAGCTGCTTATGGTACACTACTTCAAAAATTAGCGAATTTCGGAAAATTTAAATTTTTCAAAAATAAGTCAGTATTGTTTCTTATACAATTTTAATGCTGAATTGAAAACAAATCAATTGCAAATAATCGCATTTAATTTGAATTGTAGATTCTTGAATGCATTGATTACGAAATATTAAAATAACTATTTTTTTAAGAAACACTACTTTTTATTAGAATAACTATTTTTTTTAATCTGTTGTGATAGACAATAACGGAAGTCCTTTTCAGAATCAGTGTCAAAAGTTTATAAAAAAAGCTATTAGTTTCACTGACAAAAAGTATAAAAATATAGACTTGATTTATTGAGTTTAAAGATTTGTGAGAAAAAAAGAAAGAAAATCTAATTATCAAACTTACAAGTACCACAATGATACCAGATGTATAAGAAAATAAAAAGTTTTAAAATTTCATAATAAGATTGGAATTATATATTTGAATTTCTGTGAATGTTGTTAATGGTAGTTCTTTCTTCAGAATATTTTATTTTGTGGCTGAGGTACTTGTCAAGCTTTAGAGATACAAGGATTAAATAGAACGGCTGAAGTGCAATGCCATTTATATGAAGAAGAAAACTAATTTCATCCAGTCAATTTAAATTATGAAAAAATCAGTTTCTGATATTTTAATATTTTAAAACCTGCCACTATTATTGTAAATATGACTTTCTTATTAATTCTTTTTTTTCCTTTTAGGTACCAACACTTCCAAGTTTCAACGGGAAACAGTATTTAAAATAATTTTGTTGGTTTGTAAGGAAAATGAAATTTTAGTTTTAATTAAAAGTAATTTGAATTTCAGACTAATCATTTAAATTTTCAGTTTTATAGCTTTAAAAATTCTAGCACCGTAGACAACTATCTTCTAAAAATATGAGTTCCCACACATAATTTTTTTCCCACTGTGGAAATCGGATAGGCGTCATTTCAAGATGATTTAATCAATCTATTAAATATGTATACATAGTATGCATTTGAAACTTTCTTTTATAACTCAACAACCAAAGGAATTACTGCCGAAGGTATAATATTGAAAACATCAGGTTGATAAATGAAGATCTCTGCTAGTGAAAAAATTTAATTGCATACCTTATTCTTCATAAAATATATATAATATCTTTATATATATTATATTCTTAATATAGTAAGGTTAAAACCTAATAAACTAAGTGAACCGTATAACACCTCATGTTAGGGAATTATTTCCTTCGTAAGTATTGAAAAAACAGCTTTAGATTGAGCTATATAAGTCTGAAGTTATGTCGCATCTTAGGGTGATAAATTAATATTTCTGAAAATGCAAATATATATATATANATCTAAAATACTAGCTTAATAAAATTAAAAGGATCTTTTGAGACTAAACTCAAAAAGAATTATATCTATCTGCAGATAAGCTTATCTGGTTTCTGAGAACATTAAATTTCTCTTTCACGTACTTAACTTAGCCCTTCGCGTATATAGTAAGTTCCGTTGAATAGCGATGAAATCTTTATTTATAAAATGAATCCACACCACGCAATAAAATAGCTTAAAGAAGCCGAAATAACATTTAAATCAAGACTATGTTGAGATATTAGTTCATCTCCATCTGGTCTTAAGATCTTCCAGACGCCGGTTCTAACATCTGGGTTAAATGGATCACAAGACATGAACATATGTTACTTTAAAAAAGTGTACACTTATATTTTGGAAATGAAACGGTAAAGATGTGTCGCGGAGCCTCTGCTCCGTTTGTATATAAATTGTAAATAGATTTCTTTATTCTTTTCTCAATAAAAGCATAGAAAATTCATTATGTTGTCATCCTTATAGAAAAGGATATTAAAAATAATTGAAATATGACTGCGAAAATTGGAATCAACAAAATAATGATTAATGAAAAGCCACGGCTCAAGAGCTGCGAGAAAAAATAGAGAAAGAGCACTACATCAAAGCCGGCAGGATTCTCTCTGCCCGGAACCCAATGGAATAGCATGTAAATTTAAAGATTATTGCAAGTAAATTTTACTTTGAAGAAATTAACTGGAATTAAGAGATGCAATAAGAATGGTTTGATGAACTCCCGTTATCAGCCCCATCTCTTCTTGGAACGGAAAGTCGGAGGTTCCTTTTGCCCCCCTGAAACCCGATGAGCCCGGTGAACTTCGCCGAAGGAGGGATGACCTTACTTCCGCCCTGTATGCTTGCCAAGTGATGATCTTCGCCGCCCCTATTCTTGATGCGTCCTAGGAAAAAGACTGACTCTCGCAGGAGAAAAATATTGAAAAGTGAAGGAAGAAAAGGACTGTTTATTGTGTTTTTTATAATGTGCTCTCGCGTTGTTGAACAGATGAAGATCGGTAAGTTTTGAAAATAATTTTGTTGAATTAAGTGTATTACAAATAATAGTTTTATTACAATAGTGAAGATAGTTATAAATAGAAATTATGTTTTATTATAGAGTGTGTTGGTATTTTAAGAAGTATATAGAGTGTGTCGGTATTTTAAGAATGTAATACTTTGATTTTTATTATCAATTGATTTTGATTTTGATTTCTCTTATTTCAAAAATAAGTACCTTATTTTTAAGTTATTGATAATTAATGTTGTGAAAATGGCATATCTATGGAAACTAGTTAAATCGGAACTGGTAATTTTAGCGAATGAATTAGATTTAGATGTAAATGAAAATAACACAGTTCCAGAGATAAGAAATAAAATTGTAACGCAAGAAAATTATGACGAATCTATAACTAAAGAAATAGTTAATAGAATTTTGGAAGAAAAACGGGAAAAATCAGAATTACAACTTTTAAAAGAAAAGGTTTTAAGTCTAAAAAATAATTACAAAGCTATATCCTATTTAGGTAAACTAGTAAAAGCTGATTTAATTGTTTTGGCAGATGAGTTAGGAATATTATATAGTAAGTGATACCGAACCAGTTTCCGAAATCAGGAAAAAAATAACATCAGATAAGAATTACAATGAGGGGTTAACCAAAGAAATTGTAAATCGTATGCTAGAAAAAAAGAAAGAAATGCAAGAGCTACAAATTTTAAAGACTAAGAATCAAGATCTTGAACTCTATAAATTAAGCTTTCAAAGTAATTATAAGGAAACACGTTCAAGTGTAAATTCATCTAATGTAAACATTTCCTTAATGGGATTTTCACAACCGTTTGACCCCCATAAAGATGAGATATTTTTGCATTTAAAAAATTTCGAAGCTAAAGCCAAATTGGCTAATATTCCAGAAAATGAATATGTTATTTATTTATTGAATCTGTTACCCTATGATATTGTTAACCAACTAACAAGGGAACCTAGTGAATTGGCTCATGATTATTCACATATAAAAACCTTATTATTAAAATGGTATAAACTTAATCCAGAGCAATTAAAATTTAAACTCTTTTCAACTCATAGAAATTCTCAAGATTCTTGGCGCGATTTGTGCAATGAAATATCTGCTTACTTTAATGATTGGCTAGCTGAGCTTAAGATAGAATCATTTGAAGAATTGAAGGAATTAATTATTGCTAACCAAATCAAAACTAGAGTACCAAATGAAGTAAAGCAACATTTTCTTGATGCATGGAATTCTATGAATAGTTCTTTAAATTTGGCAGAAAAACTAGATGAATTTGAATCTTTAAGAATCGGTATGAATAAACAGACAGGTACTAAACCAAAACAATTTTCTCCTACTTTTCAGAGATGCGCTGCATATAATGCACCATAAGTAAAAAGAAATTTTACAAATAATTATCGGAGTAGTCCAGGACAGTTCCGATATCAGACTGATCAGCAGCATTATATGGGAAAAAATTATAATTACCTATATGGAGCTGGTTTCAATCAGTATAGTAATCATTCTAAATATAATAGTATTGAAATGAAACAATCAACTGAAAAAACTCACCATGGAACTGTTTCTGATATATCTCCCCGAAACAAATATGACAAAAAGAGTGAAAAAGTTAATGATAAGTCTTCTCAAAACAAATGTAACAAAAATGCTGGAAATGGTGTAGAAAATGGTATTAATGATCAATGACATTTAAAATCTTTATATTTTTGTGATGTGATTACGTCGGGAAGTGATGGCACAAAAATTGAAATTCCGGCACTTTGTGATACGGGAGGAACGATGTCAATTGTTCCATCAAAATTATTAAAAAATATCAAATATTTTCTAGTAACCATCGTTACATATATATATATATAACCTAAGGTAGAGCACGGAACACATGACGTTAATTAAGAATAATCTTTCCAAGTGTCAAAGAATACATTTGAGGTGGATTTATAATAACCAGAAGGGAAAAGTGGCACACCTTAGGTAGATAAATAAATACCTCAACCATATAAATAATGCCAGAGGTCGAAAAATAACAACCTAAAGTAGAACACCGAACACCTCACATTCATAAAAATCAAGCTATCCAACTGTCGAAAAACACACTTGAGGTTGATTTATAATAACCTGAAGTGTATAACGGCTAACCATAGGTTGATAAATAAATACCTCAACAAGCATAAAATTAGATACCTGAGGTTGAAAAATAATTAACTGATTTAGAACATAATGCACCTCACGTTAGTAAAAATTTACCTTTCCCACCTACAAAAAATACACCTGAGTTACATTTATAATAACCTGAGTAGTTAAATGAAACAACTTAGGTTGCTAAATAAATACCTCCACAATTGTTAAAAAACATACTTCAGATTGATAAGTAATTAACTAAGGTTGAAAATGAAACACCTTCAAGTAGTAGTTTTTAGTAGTTTTTTTTCATTCAAATTTATTACACAACTCTTCATGCTCCCATAATATGAGGCTTACAATTGTGAGAGGGCGAAGTTCAAATTTAAATTAAAAGAAACAGAACAAAATTAAAAGTCTAGATTTTCAGTGTATTTAACGAAGATGGACTAAACAAGAAGTCAAGAAGTACCTGCGTGTCTCAGTTTCTTTTCTAAGCTTTCATTTTGACTTGCATATAAATTACAATAAAATACAGTGTGTTTTATAGTTTCAACATCCTGACCACAGGAACAAAAATTAGAATTCCCTGAATTAAACCTTAACAATTAGCTGTTAAAATTACCATGCCCTGTAAGAATTTGAGTTAATTTTAAGTATATAAAAAATTTCCTGCACTTCAACTGCTGAAAACTAGGTGGAAAACTCTTTCAGTCCCCACAGCACTTATAAATTATTTTTTGACGGATATTTTTCACGGATTTCAAGGTTCGTAAAATAAATGCATAAATAAATAAAAAATTAACTTAATTAATTAATAAATAAATCATTGCATTTTATAAAATATTAATCCATATAACTTCTGTTTGGTTTCAATGGATTAGGCATTAAGGAATACCTAAGAAGAGAACATTTTATTCTAGATATGAAAGCCAGATACGTAAATTAGTACAAATACTAAATTATATACATTTTTCATTAAACATTTAAAATTTTTGTTTTCATTGTCCATCAGCTTTAGATTGATTTCATACAGTTAAGAGAAAAATAGATTAATCGAAAACCTGACTCCACGTGCATTAATAGCTGTTTGCCAGTTCTCCCTTCCTTTTTGTCCTCCCGCAGAAATCCGATGAGTGAGATCCTGTTACGTTTTACTCCTTAGCATAAGGAGAATAGTTAACATTTTGAAATGTATTTCTAAATTATCGTTCTCTGTACCCATGTATTATAAGATTTTAGCTCATTTCCATGCAATACATGTAATAGGGCTCTAAAAATCAGTGAGGACCTTCCTTAGATTTATTTATTATGGAATAACAATCACAAAAATTATTTTATGAAATCTGGAATAAAGATTCCTTAATAAGAATGTGTATAAGACAGAAATATTAAATAAAAACAACAATCAAGGTTACATAAGTTTTTATTTCTCATTTTGAAGCATAAAAATTGTTTCCTTGTTTTCCAATCGTACTTGATTTTCCGGAAAAGACGGCCTATCCTGCAGCTGAAATCGAGAATAGAAATATGTTACACTTGTAAAAATGCTTGTGTTGCAGAAACATTATAAGTTATAAATCGTACAATTGTGTTTTTAAAACTAATCTTAGCTTTTATTTTTTATTTTGAACTATTGAAATTCTATAAGGCAATGAAATCAATACATTGAATAAACGTACGGAACAAAACAACTGTCCTAAGTTTTTCAGTCAGGATGTTACGAGCATTTTTAATATTATTTTTAACCAAATTTTATTTAAAAACATAGACTTTGGGAACCAAACTTTCGAAAAAAAATCCTGCTTTAGATATAAATTGAATCAATTTCAACCACTGAGCCGCTGAGCACTGAAACAAAGAGTATTTTTTTTTATAATGTGTATGCACTATACAGAAAATTGTGCCCATGTATAGAGGGTGAAAAGTGCTCTTGATATTATGCGTGCTGTTTTTGACTTTTATTTTTTGCTAATTTAAATTATTGACCTTGATTTCCCCCTACCTGTCTAAACAAGTGTGGTATCGCCTTTGTTATTAAAAAGACAAATGAATCCATTTCTCGTAATGAATAAGTTTGCTATTACATTTACCGTGTGTGCATTTGTATCACGATTCGTATAATTATATTGCCTGACATACCCAGGCTATATCTAGCAACGAAACTTACAATCAGGAATGCATATTTTACTCTTAAATGCCCTGTTGGGTTAGGTCATGTATGAGTATCATAATTTCAAGAGAATCATTAAGTAAGAATTAAGTAAGCATCATCATGTAAGAGTATCATTAAGAATCTCTAAAATTTCGAAGATCGTGAAGAGATCGAATCGGATGAATAAATGGCCCCTGGGGGGGGGAGGGAGAGGAAAAATTGATTTTATCTAATGAGATCTGATGATGATAAATTATCTAAATAAGGAATTATAAGGCTCTTCGTTAATCAAAAAAAGCTTATGATTTCATATTCAGCTTATGATTCACATATTGTTTTAGATGTAAAAAATTAGCCGAAACACATGCGCGAAACAAAATATTTAATTTAATACTTTTTTGAACTAAATGCATTCTTCTTAATAACACACAACATTTCGTATTACAAAAAACTTAATACTTCTAATTTATACTCCAATTAAGCACGTATAATGTGAATATAATGCTGTTTGGTCATATTTCTTTCGAGATTGATAATAAATACATTCACGCTTTCATTAGCATATAATCGAGTAATTCCATTCTCTTACCATTTTCAGGACAACCAAGTGGCCCTGTCCACGATCTTGTTTAGTGGCAGTTAGCTATTTTATTTTACCTAAACACAATTTTTACAACAATAGAGGCAGCCAGTTGAAATTTAAAAAGGTGATATTACTTTAATAATTTTTGCCAATACTTTAAGAATTTTTCACAATGTGTATATTGCAAGTTTAAGCATACCAAAAGAATAATAAGAATAAGAGAAAGCAAACCTCCAAAAAATATTTTAAAAAAAACTTCATACTAGTGTTTAAATTTCTACTGGTTTCTTAATTTTTTCTTTAATGTTATCTACTATTTTATCAGTTCAGTCTCAAAAAGCTACAAATTTCTGTAAAAATAACTACCGATTCTGAAAATTTCCAAGCTTGGAAATAAGCTGCATCTTTATTATGTATATTTAGTCTACATTTTGTGCTAAGTTAATTTAAAAACTTTTGCAGATTGACACACGATTGCATCGCAAAAAACTTTTTTTCCGAAACTCTAATTCTCACGATTAAGATTATAAATTTTACATTTCATGCATGATCGTATGTTACCAGTACTTTACATTCAAAACTTAACATTTTTGAATTTCATGTTTAGGCTTTAGTAAAAATTTAAAATTCACTTTTCTTTTACCAAAACTTAAGCTATATAGATCCATTCTAATCGGCACAAATAATGTCAAAATTATTACACCAAAAACCTTTTATTTCGATTTTTTTTCTTTCTTCTTATTACACGTAACCACAATGAAACATTTTTTTTCGCTTTGAAATTTTGAAATTTTAAGTAAAGATATTTTCGTGATACATCCTTATAAGCACATGTTGAGAGCGAAAAAAACGAATATTTACGTTCTAGAACTCAATCATAATGGTTCGAAGAAATGACCTCAGATATGCCAGCTAATATTTTAAATTGCAAAATACGCCGAATAGGAAAAAACGTTTTTCAATTCGCTTGAAAAGTTCGAGAAATATGGTGATATACGCAAAATGTAAAATTAACAATAAGGGGTGAAAAATTTCCATTACTTTCCTAACCAAACTATGGAGACCATATTTCCCAGATTGCTGCTACCTCCTACATTTTGGGGGTCAGAGATCTGAATCTGTCGAAAAAAAGGCATGTTTATTCAGAAAAAGAATGTTTTGAGCCTGATTTTGTAACTTAAAATATCGCCTGCACTAGTTATTTAGCATAGTTGAGGTCACCCCCTTGAACCAGGAAAATTGAGAACTAGAAAGTGAAGGTCCGATTGTTAAATTAAAAGTTACTCAGAGTGGTCTATTTTTTTCTTTCACACTATACACAGCCACAAACAACGCTTGCTTTTTAAATGACATAATACGAAACACTTAAATTCATCTATTTGTATCATAAACCACTTATAAAATTTGTTGAAATGATGCTGCTTGGTACAAACTTTCATAACAAAAAGTAAATTTTAATAATGAATGACTATATTACGTTCTATAGGAACACATATTTTGCAACAGCCACATGGTGGATCCCCAGGTCGCTCATTTTCTCTGCAATGCAAAGGTTCGCACGGAAAATCAGGTCCGCATACTATTAAACATCGAGCATTCGCCGCCACCACGTTTATAAGAAGCAAAGCTAACACAACTCTATACATCATTAAGTTAGTAAATAATTCTGAAACAAAGCAATTTTAAATATTTTAGAGTCATTTTTAATTTAAATACTAATAGCAAAACAAATGATAAAAGTAAAAAAGAGTAATTTAACTAACGATTTAAGATCTTATACATAGTTGTAAAATTAAATACTAGTTTCAGTGTCTTTTTTTATTGTACCAAATCTACATAATTTAGATATATAAAATCATTAGTTTTTAACTTATAATTTATAGCAGGAAAAATGCTAGATTTTCGATGTTTTCTTTTTCTTCTTGCTACCTTATCTCTAAAAGTTTGTACACTGAGAAAAAAAAAGGATGATCAAAACTACCAGAATATGGTGAAGATTAATCGATGGAAACACCAAAGATTTCAGTAAATTTTTTGAGGTGTCTTGGTAATGGTTTTCGTGAAAGTAATAATAAAATAAAATTGTTTTATAATATGTGAAAAAATTTAGTAACTGTGGAAAAATTTGGTAATTTTATCATGATAACTTACAGCAAGGCAAGAACAGTTTATATGATTAAATTTACTTTTTAGTTTTGTGATTTTTTACTAAATGCGTGATAATATGAACTATAATTTTTAAAACCAGTATTTCCAGCAAATCATTAACATATGAACGGTAAAATTATTAATTGAAATTTTGAAATATCGTATATTTTGGCTTTATTAAACAGAATTATGGTTGTTTTTGTGAGAAATGTCAATACCACACAGTACGGTAATTTTACCAGAACTTTTCCTCCAAGTATAATAGATTTAAAAAAAATTAAATAATACACATTTCAAAAAATAAGTTAAAAGATGCAAATAAATAATTTCCAAAATACAGACTCGTTTCTCATATATGAATATTCATTCACCATAATAGGAGGATCAGATTTTGAATATGCTAATCAGTTTGAGCAGAAGATATTTTAAATTGTTGTTGTTGTAGTTCAGAGTGACTGCAGCCAGTGATGCTTGACTTCGGTGATCTTATGGGAAATGTGTCTTAACGATCAGTCCACGGTAGGACAGGTATTTTAAGTAAGCACAATTATAAATAAAATACACTTTGAAAAAAGCATATTTTCCCCCCGTGAGATTCAGTTTCTGAAATCTAAAGATAGGGGAATAACAAAAGTTTGGAAAACATGGTCACAATAATCGTGTCCAGTGAAAAATTTGGTCAGCTTGGTGTTAAATACACTTTCTGCGTATTTCGTTATAGCTATGAAATCGCAGAAACGAATCTTCTGTAAGATCAAAACTCTTTTTTTCACGCATAATTTCTCCCAAAAAACAAATCTGTTACGAAATATTATTCATTTCTGAAATGAGTGATAAAATATTAAATTGAAAGATACGCAGATAATTTTATTGTTTTAAACTATGTAATTTTAAAGAAAAAAATCCAAAATTTAACAAGAATCAGTTAAAAATATTCTGAGAAATAATCCAAAACTTATATTGATTTTTTTTAAACTCTATTACATAGATTCTTTTTGAAACATTTAACTTCAATTTTGAGATTTTTAACTTAAAATTGCAATGTTTGAAATAAATCAAATACTAATATCACTTCTTGATAAATTTCACTTACTTTTCACTTCTTGATAAAAAGAAGTTTCTAAAAAATTAAAAATTTCAAAAAATTCGTTTCTTATTAATTTATTTTTAATTTAAAAATTTATAATTGTTAATACATTTCATTGATTTTCCACCAGCAATATGTATTTCTGTTTAAAAATCCTTCATTTACGTGTGTAAGCCTCGTGTTGTACTTCTTCAGAGGTGCTCGAGGAATAATTTTGTTCTTGAAATAATAATAAAAAAAAGATAAAATGCACAAAAAGCAGCTCTTAGGGCTACCAAACTTTATACACTGTTCTCCAGGTTGAAAATTTTACAAGTTTCCGACTTCTCCTTCAAAATATGAAAGGTAAATAATACAAATATACGTTTAAGAAGATGAAGTATGTTTTTATATCTGATTTCGTAACTTTAAATGTCATCCGCACTAATTAATTAGCTTAATTAAGGTTATTATTTTGAACACTCGAGATTGTATGTTGATGCTTGACCATGAAATTGAAAGTTATAAAGGTATTTTGTCTTTTGTTTTGGTAATGGTTGTATTTAGAAGTAAGAAATCAAATACTTGTATTAATAATGAATTATGTATATAATATAATATAATAAAATATAATGTAATATAATATAATATAATGTAATGTAATGTAATGTAATATAATATAATATAATATAATATAATATAATATAATATAATATAATATAATATAATAAAATATAATATAATATAATATAATGTAATNATGGTCTGGCATACCTTCATTCGTTATTTATATTTATCATAATTTTCAATTTTGATTAGTATTTTAACTTAAATTTATCATTTTTTTCCAGTGATATATGGTGACATACTAAATGTGTATTCTTTTGTAAAGACTTCCTTAAAAGTATATAATCAATATGCTGGTAAAAATGGTATTCATCTATAAAATTTTTAATACATTATAATGTTTTGTAATATATTAAAAGTATAATATTTAATGTATTATTAAAAGTAGAATAATAATATTTAATATAATATTTTTATAAATATTATACTCTTATAATAGTTTTCTTTTTACTTCTGCTTGGAAAAAAATAAAAAAATAAAAAATTAAATGTATTCATGCAAAATGTATTCATGCAAATTTAAAATAATGAGTATGCAATAAGAGAAGAAATACTCACCGAAACCGAGAAATATAACTTATTAACCATTTATTTCCACTGCATTTGTATTGCCTTTTCATTATATATAGTTGTCTCATCATATGACACAATTTTGATGGGATTCAAAGATAATAAATTTCCTGTTAAAATGCTCATTTTTATTAGCTGTAGATGAAAAGTTGAGACAAGGGATGTAGTCATCCATGTAGAAATAATAAAGAAAATATATTGAACAGCAGTTGAAGAGTCACGTTTTTAATTTTGAAATGATAGAAAACAAGACTTAGGTTGAGTTTCAATTTACGAGTTAATGAGAAATTGCAGATTCAAATATTTTCGAATGCAGAAATATGGTGTTGTTTCTAATTCCACTTGCCACACGAGCAAGCCTGCTTGTTGAAACTGAGCAAATTTAAGGCAGACTGTGCGTTTCTTGTTTTTCAGTGGCACCATCCTATGGCTAAGAATTCGACTTCAGCCACACACACGTCATAGCCCGTTTTATAGGGCGGAGCAATTCTCACATCCATTCATTCATCCACAGATCGTAACTTTGCCCTGAATCAGAGAACGATTGAACTCCAATCTAGCACCCCCAGAGGTGAGAAATATGTATGTAAATGAAACAAAATTAAGAATAAAATTATTCATTTGAATGTAAACGTTAGAAAATAAATTTAAATTTTTCGCAGATGAAAAAAAAATTGTTTAGTTCTAATGAATGGTGATAAACAACAAGAAAAAAAAAACACTCTTTCTATGATGCTTTTCAAAAAATGAAATATCTTCATCAGTGTTTGTACACAGAACTAAAGTAGAAAACCCATAGATATACAGAAGACTACAAGTGAAAAAGGGAGTTGATCAATAGAAGAGATGGGACTAGTTTGAACAGGATAATCAAGGAAAAAAACCAAGAATGGTTGAAGTTTTCACCTTTTTTACACAAACATGTCTATTAAATTTTTTGCTAATTGGCTTGTTTAAGCTTTAGCTCCTTTCCCTATTCGTTAACCCCTTTCTTTTTCCTTGTTGTAACGCGATCGTACTTTTCTTCTGCATTTCTGTGTTAAAAGCGTAAAAATACAGTTGTCTTCTGTGTTTGAACACTGCTAAAGATTCTTTATATGAGAATCAAAACTATAGTATACGTCTTTATTTGAAACATTTTGTGTTTATTTTATGTTGTTTAACTTTTTTTAAATTTAAGTTTAGTTTACAGTAATGAAATATAACTTGATTCTTTTTCTTACTCAGATGTTATATTCATTCCAGGACTCCTCAATTTGTCATCAGTAAACAACTGCATTAAGTAGCGAAAATTAGGGTGCATTGTCAGTAAAATTAATTTTACCGTAAAATCCATTTTAAACGTAAAAAAACTATAAAATGATTTTTCAATAATGTTTACTTAGTTTGAGTGATGCAGTGATTATATATAGTTCGGCTTTACCCTGTCCCGCCCCCATTTTGGGGCATCCTGGGAATACTGTTAAAGGATCGGTTTAGGCCAGATCCTCCATTCTGTTTTCAAAAAGTCTTTAAAAATCTCTTCAATTCCTTTGTTTAGTTTCTTTTGGTTCCAGCTTCTTTTAATGGTATCAAAGTTGAAATTTCTCTAGAAAAATGTAATTCTTAAATCAACATAAACAGGACAGACAGTAAGTATGTGTGCGATATCTTCATAAGTTTTACAAACGTTGCAGTTCGGGGCAAGTGTTTATATATACATCGAAGAGCCATTACATTATGACCACCCTGCTAATAACATGTAGGACCACTTTTAGCCCTCAAAACTACCAGCACACGCAGTGGCATTGATTCCACAAGATGCTGATAGGTAGCCTGAGGTATCTGGTACCAAACGCTCACCAACTGGTCCTGCAATTCCCTCACATTGCAGAGGGGGTAGCGTGGCAGCACGATCTTGGCTTTCCAAGTAGGACCACAAATGCTCAATTGGATAAAGGTCAGGTGAATTTGGGGGCCAAGACATGACTTGAAAGTCACTGGAATGTTCCTCGACGATTCGACCCTTATGACATGCATAATGCACTATCCTGTTGATAAATAAAGTCCCCCGCTGGAAAAACTGTTGCCATAAATGGGTGAACCTGGTCTGCAACTATGTTCAAGTAGCTTACAGGCGTCAGGGATTGTTCTATGAGGATTANGAATGTTCCTCGACGATTCGACCCTTATGACATGCATAGTGCACTATCCTGTTGGTAAATAAAATCCCCCGCTGGAAAAACTGTTGCCGTAAATGGGTGAACCTGGTCTGCAACTATGTTCAAGTAGCTTACAGGCGTCAGGGATTGTTCTGTGAGGATTATGGGTCCTAATGTGCCCCATGAAAACATTGTTCCTGGGCCAGGAAGCATGAAAAACTGGGCGAGCCCATTGTTATAGATGGTGGGTGGTCATAATGTAATGGCTCTTCGGTGTATACGGTAATTATTAGAGTAAAATTTACGGTATGCTAGATTTTTTGTTCTGTTACATGTTTTGGTAAAAATGGATTTCACGATGAAAATTGCCAAGAGCCGGAACTTTTTAGCGAAATTTTATCCGGAATATTTCACAGTGTACTTGTTTGAAAATTTTTATCATTTTTATCTCCAAGAGAAGAAATGATTGAACAATAAACAAATGAAATATCTCTTTCACACAAAAACAGTGCCACCAGGGACAAAAAATGGATTCGATGGTCCTTAAAGACGTCTCTAGGTCAGAAAAAACTTCAAAGACCCTACAAAGGCCCTATTTCCTCCCCTTCCCCTTCATGAAATTCGTTTACTTTTTTCATCAAAAATTAAATTAGCTGTATGAACCAAAAAAAAAACTGACTGACCTTAATTACTTTTGATCTAATGTTCAGATCTCCAATTTCTAAAACTCTGGTTCGACTCCAATGGTTCTAGGGGGTGATCTCAAATATGCAAATTAATAGGTGTAACCGATATTTTAATTTATGAGGTCAGACTCAGAAGCATACTTTATCTGAATCATACCGTATTTTTGATAGATTTTGATTTTTGAACCCCAAAATATAGGGTGTAGCCTCAATCTGGGAAATATGGTCCATATAGTTTAATCAGAAGAGATGCCCAAATTTTAAACCCCTTAATATTTATTTTACTTTTTGCGCATTTTGCCATATTTCGTGAACTTTGTACGCGAATTGAAATAAAATTGTACAATAATATGAAAATCGTTTAGCAAAAGATAATTCAATGCGAAAAAAAAATTTTACTATGTATTTTTTTATTATTTTACTTAATAGTAGTCGAAAATTTTTTTAATTGCAAGTTATACAAGTTTTTATATCATTTTAAATTACACTGATCTCTCACTTATGCACCACCTCTTTTATGCACCTTTTTCATTTATACGACGATTTTTATAGGTCCCAGTACATTAGATAGGAAAATAATGATAAACATCCTTCGTTTATGCGTCGCTTTAAAAATAAATGTTTCAATTATGCACCGAAATTTTTAGCTGGCATTTTAATTTTTTAATCCTTTAAATATTTTTTCTTTTAAAAAAATTTTTTTAAATTAAAAATGAAGCAAATGAGCAATCCTTGTTACAGATAAAAAGAAATATATGTTGTTAGATCCTATTGAATTTGCTTCCCCCTGTGACCTTTTCATTTTTGCTGTTTCTGGAAAGAGATTCTTTCTAAAATTTTGAATAGGGTGTCTTACCTTTTACACCAACAACAATGAAAGCCCATTAATCTTTCAGAAAATGACCAATTCCTCTTGTCCAGAGGTTAGTTTTACCCCCATGCTGTTTTCTTGAAAAAGAAGACACCTGGAATACGAAAGATGAAAGAGACCGAGATCTCTTACTTGCTGTCAGATGGACATTATGAGTACGGTGATCTGTTTAGTGAGGGAAATACTTGAACAACTTATTGTGCAGCATATTATGACGTCAAGTATTTTTCTTAGAAATTTATCATGTGATATGTTTCACCCCCTCCCATAAAACTCAAATTTTTTGTGAAAAACTGTTCATTTATATCAAACTAAAACTTGTGAATGATGAGAACGTAGTGGATGATACTGACGAGATGATAAAGTTTCTCCAAATCACACAGCAGTATTGAAAGCTTTAGACACTGTTCCTGACTATTTACAATTTAATTTTGCTTTTGAAACACCCCCTTATCCCATTTATATGAACTGGAAAAAACTGTTTTCGAATAACGTCAGCGAAAACAAATACAAACATGTATTAAGATTATTTTGTAAGAAAATAAATTGTCTTAAGGTATGTTAAATTTTTTCTTTGTATAATTATAGTAAATACCAAAACAGTATAAATATTAATATTAAATCTTTAGAAACATATTTATTCATGTTGTCACTGCAATTTGCTTTGCGTTTTGGAATTTTGAAGTTTTTCACTTATGCGCCTTTTTCTCTTGGCCCCTTACACCGGTGCATAAGTGAGAGTTCACTGTAAGTAATTTTTATTGACAAAGTACAAATCATAAGCGAAATGACCGAACTCAAGAGAATGTCGATTGTCACCGGTGAATGTCAACAATCACATAGTAGCTTCGATGAATGTCCGAAATACTTGTTTTAACCGATTTGACATTAATTTATTCGTTGATATTAGTATATTAATTTGATATTTTAATATATCTTGAGGTAAATTTAGTAAAAACATTGGTGTTCGGAGTATCGTTCAAATGTATACCTAGTAGTGGCACTGAACTTAAAGAAAAAAAAAACATTAATGTAGAGCATATCGGGTAATTGCATACTGGAGAGTAGCACTCAACTACACCTGCTATTTATTTCGCACATTTACTAAAGTGACTATGTGATTGTTAACATTCACAGGTGGAAGTCAACAATTACCAATTTTGGTCATTCACAGCAACATATACATAGTTTGTCGGAAATTGGAAAAGAAATAACTCACATATATGATATTTGTAAAACAATGTAAGTAAAACAATGAGGTTTTTGAATACAAATCAATTTCTTCATTCATATAATGTATTAAAATGTCCGTGTACACTTATGAGTAATTGGGTGACAATAAAGGCCTTCCAGACACCTAGGCTGATTATTAGGAACTCTTGGAGCATCAGTCTGTCCACCAAAGGGCAAAGCAGGAAGAGCCATTGGACGAAGTCTGTTTGCACAGTTTTCACCCTTCCCTAAACGAGAAGATATAAATGACATTTCGAAAAATGATTTACTTTATAAATATGCAAGAAGAAGTATATTCATTAAACATTCTATTTCCCATCTGTAATAAAATAAACTGCATGCATCAGTTTAAGGAAATGCAGAGGATCTCATTTTATAGTGCATTGGTTTTCTGTTCAATAGTAGATAAACTGAAAAAGTGGAGGTGTAAGGATTACAGAACATAAATGTTTATGCATTTTTACCATTAAATTTAAATTAATTACTATTATAGTACAAGGGGTGATCAAGTGAAGAGGTACGAAATGACACGGTGGGTACAAATGTAGACTTTATTCAAAATATACACCATAGGCCTGAGCACAACGATTCCACTGATGAACAAGCAGCAGGATTCCTTCTTCTCAGAATTCCTGTGGCCGTGACCAGACCCAGTCCTTCACAGTGTCTTTGAGTATGTCGTCCGAGTTGAAGCACTTCCCTTTCAGGTGCTTCTTCAGTGGACCAAACACATGGAAATCGCAGGGCGACATGTTCGGACTGTAGGGCGGATGGTTTAACGTCTCCCACTTGAACTTGGCCAGTTCCAAGTATGTGACTCTGGAAACGTGTGGACGCGCGTTATCATGGAGCAGAAACACACCCGCTGCTCCTCAATCGTCGAATTTTGCAACGCGAACGCCATCCTGTCTTCATACGGACCGCCGCATCATTTGGATGCCGCTTTTGATAAGAGCCTCTGCTCTCTTCTGCTCATGCGGGTGTCCGCGCTTGCTCCGATCCCAGTCAGAAACTCCAATCGCATCCCGAGATCTCTCGCTACGTTCTCCCATGGCGGAATCTGCAAATATTTAACTGTTACGTTTGTACGTCGTTTCGTACCTTTTCATTTGATCTATTATCCATTGATGTTATTATAGTATTGATGACTATTATAGTATTATCCATTTTTATTGACTTACCTAACACTTTTATACAAGTTTTACAGCAACTACAACCAACATATTTTGCTTCCTCATTTCGTTTACACATTGGCGCAGCACATCGCACAGCAGCACAGTTTTGTTTGCATTTAAAAGCCAGAGTTGTTTCCATATAGGCGAAAAATAGAGAAAATAAAACAGCAGAATAGTACATTCTCCTTAAAGAAGATAACAAATTAATTTTAGATAGGAAGTTATGTGCGTATTGCATGAACATAGATAAAAAAATCTTGTTCAATTGAAAACAAATATAGTATTTTTTAAAGATACCTTTGTTCAATTCTTCAATTTGCAATGTGAAAAAAAGAATAATAATGCTAGAATTTTTTTTTTTGCATTTGAAATATATACTTGAATAATACTTGAATATATACTTGGTCTGATGTTTTTCTTATTTTTATATACAAGCACTAAGTTTCAAAGGGCAAAAAACTCTTTACCATCATCAATAGAGTTTCATTTTTATTCACTTATATGTTTCATGAGTGTTACTGTATGTTAAATGTGTGTCTTATATGTTTTATTTATTCCTTAATTTCAATGAATTAAATTTTTACTGTAAAACTCATTAATTTTTTTAAATAAAAATATAATTTGTGCTTTGAAATGATAGCCTTTAAGCATTTTTTCCAATGACCACTTGGGTTGACCTTTCGTCAATTCAAGTGTATTAGGGCGCATTTGTTGACCTCTCTTTTAGGGACACCATATTAAGTGGGTCAACTTTGCTCCCACAGTAAGGACAGATAGTACAAAGAATGAAATAACATCCATATCTTGTCTGGCATTCGAATCTGGAACCTTTCTGATACAAGGCATGTTCTCTGTCCCCTATACAGTCCAATCGGCACAAATATTGGCCATGACCGGGGTTTGACCTCCGGATCCTAGGGACAAATAATTCCTTGCTTCCTATTGCTTAACCCTAAAGATTACACCACACCAGCCTTAAAAATTTATGAATAATTAAAATTCATGGTGCCATTCGATATAATTCTGGAATATGACAAAAGAATAGGTGGTTGAATTTGCTCATTTTTATATGACTATAGTTTACACAAATTATGCACTTGTGTAAGCTCCAGTTGTATTCTTTTTACTTCTACCATGTTATTAAGCATTTACCATTTTTACCCCTCCCATTTACCATTCTTTTATTGAAACCAGATAGGCACTAGATAGACCCCCAAGTTTTTGGAGTATTAAGAAGAAAAAGGGTTTTTCTTGCATGTTTTACTTTCTTATGTGCATCAAATGTAATTAGGGATGGTCGTTGGGTTTAAGCAAAAAATCAACTGATGCAGTGATAACGAATCTTGGCAATTTTAGCAAAGTAGGATAAAATTTCAATGGTATAGTACACCTATTTATCCGTTTAATTTGAGATAACGAATAAAATGGTCTTCTATGAAACAAACTCTTCACACTTATAAACCTATACTGTATTATGCCTGTCAGTCTTTACCCTAAGTTAGCTAGGAATGTAATTGTTGACTTTAAATTTATTTGATTGTTATCCTTCCAGTTGAACAGCATTAGCTCAATGTAAATAAAATTTTAGACTAAAAAATATTAACTATGCATTTAAGTAATATTTTATTTTATTTTAAAATTTTGTAAAAAACAAAAAGTAAAGTAAAGAAGAAAGTATTCTGTTTATGATTATCAAATTAAAAAGGACATGTTTCAAACAATAAAAATTGGACAAAGATTAGATTTACAAAAATTAGAACGTTGAAAACTTTTGATTTACTTTACGAGGTCAGCCCCATTAAGTTAAAAACGCTAACGAGAAATATCATCATAACTTTAACTACAAAATCAAAACAAGCAATTACAATGTGTGTTGAAATTATGGAAATTAAACTTCTTCGAACTAGATCGCATAATTAAAATAAATATATTATATAATCTCAATTAACGAAAAAGTATTTCGTTTTTTTTATGAACCTCGTTCATTTAGACAACCGTAATTTTAATTTATTGCTAATAAAAATTATTTTTTGTAAAATCGCACAATTTATTTTAACATTTTGTATTAATGAATTCTTTATCTTCATTTTTCGTTACAGTTTTTTTTAAATCTATTTGTAACATTCAGTCCTGTTAATCATTATAATTCAAAGGTAGACTTAAGAAGAAAACAACACTCAACAGCTATGGACAGCGCTTTGAGAAACCATGCCAATAAAACGTAAGGATTTCATAAACGTAGGATCTCATAAGAAGACGACCAAGTGCAGTTACTTAGGGTGATGTGGTGGTTCAGGGGATAGAATGTTCGCCTTTCAATAAGGCAAACCGGGTTCGAATCCCAGTGATGCCCTGTCGATACGAATTCTTCCATGGTGGACGGATCGAGGGTTGGAGTCCTCTTGCTGTCAGGCTAACCATGGGATGTTTCCGTAGTTTTCTTCGCCATATAACTGAAATACTGGTTAGGTCCATTAAAAAGTCCTTCATGAAGCCAAATTTGGCCCAATACTTGATCCAGGAGTTCCCCTGTCTTCTGGATTGGGTTCAAAAATACAAAACTATGGATTTGAACATTAGTAGTCGTAAACCCTAAAATTGGGTCAGCAGTTCAACGGCGGTTATGAAATCTTATGTAAGGTGCCGAACGGAATTCACCATAAATTTGAGAAATCTCTCTAAGAATAAAATATGGGCTACTTTGAGGCGGGTAATTTAAAGAAGAAAGCTTTTCTTTTGAAAACACCTAAGATAAGTAAAAATAAATTTAAACTTCTGAAAACGAACAATTGGAGCACTTAAACTAAAATAAGAAAAAAATCCTACAATTTAAATTTGTACTTCGAAAAGATTATAATGGAAACCTAGGGAGTAAATTGTACTGAAGCATTTTTTTCTCCAGAAATGTCTCTTCCCGGTGGTAAATAATTAAAGTCCGCAAGAATTTTCATTCTTCTGTAGTACGAGTCTCTGCCAAGAAATTGTAACCGTCACGGTGGCTTCCAAGAAGCCATAGATCTCTGCAATATCAGTCACAGAAAAATCTGCCTTTGTCTAGAATGTGGCTTATAACTTTTTTTCATCCGAAATTTTCGAACATTCATATTGGCAGTTAGTAGGTAAAGTATAAAACACACTTTAAAGAAATTATTAAAAAAAGATTTAGTTTAATTATACCACATAATTGGATTACAAACGCTATTTTTTTTCTATAGAGTTAATGCAAAAAGAAATTAAAAAGAATTCGATATCATAAATGTATATTTTCCTTAATATAAAATGTAGTAAGACCATGAACTTAGTATAATGATATTTATATACCTAAAATTAAGAACAAATATTGTTTTAAACGAAAACTTTTAGTAGAAAATGACTAACCTTCTTATATGAGATCTAAAGGTGAAAAGATTCTGTAATCCTCATAGGTAATTTTCTTTTGAAAGGGCTATAAAAATTTGAAAATATTGAGTGTAATCTATGGAAATATGAAACGTAATCTATTAAAACATGAATTTATTAAAAAAGTTAGTTTAAGTATGCCACATAATTTGCTTGCTAATGCTTTTTTTTTCTTTAGAGTCAATGTAAAAGGAAATTAAAACTCATTCGCCATCATAAATGTTTCTTTTCCTTAATATAAAATTATTGACAAATAATTACAAAAAAAATTATTAACAAATTAACAAAAATTAGGAATACTTTAATATAATGATATTTATTTACCTGAACTTAAGAACAATAATTGTTATAAAAGAGAAATTTGATATAACTAAAAACGACTAACCTTCTTATCTTAGATCTAAATGTGAGAAGATTGTGTAATCCTCATCGGTAATTTTTGTTTGAAAAGGCTATAAAAATCTGAAAATATTGAGTGCAATCTATGAAAATATGAAACGTTAAATACTTCTCTGAAACAACGTTAGCGAAGTTATTACACTTCTTTTTTACTATTTCTTTGAAAGATAAATTCGAAATGACATAATACTTCACATGAATTGGAATTTTATCGTCGGTGATAAAATAAAACCAATAACATTTTACGAAGTAAGGACATTATAAGAATGTCTGATTATGTGTTACGACACATAGTAATATAAAGGGAATTATTTGGTATACTCGGTTAACTGGATAAACTTTTTTTGTGCTACTGGCTTTGTCAAAAAAAAGTTCTTAATAAAAGTTTACAATATTTTTTGTAAAGCGATATTTATTGTAAAAAATTTAAAACAAAATATGAGTTTTTTTTCAAAATTTCTAAATTTTTAAATTCTATCTAAGTTTTTAAAGCCGAATTATTGAAAAAGAGCTTTGCTCTCATTTTCACACGAATCATAAGCGGATTAAAACCGTTAATTGAAATTCTAAATTCTGGGGTGCAATTTTGCGTTCAGTAATACAATTTTCCCTCAAGTATTTCGCGATTATTTTCTATATTCGTTTGTACTTTTTAGTAATTATTATACTGTTTCAGATCGGTCATTATCGATACGATATTTGAGCGAAATCGATACGATATATAATCGATACGATATATAAGCGAAATTCTCACTATCCAACTTCCACTTGATCTGCCTTGGTTCAGAGGACAGAGCGCGAGCCTCTCAATGAAGTAACCCAGTGTTTCTTAACCTTTCAGTATTCGGGGCCCAGTTTTCAATCATAATTTTCATCGCGCCCCCCGTGCTTATAATATGTACAACAATAATGTATATTGAGTATTTCGGATTCGGTTTTTAAATGATTTTTAACTAACTACCAAAACAAAAGTGAAAGCAAACCAACCTTGGAAAGAAATCACTTATTGCATGGACGGTGAACAGATTAATCCAATGAGAGCGAGGAAAATGTATATATAATATTTAAAATGAAAACCAAACAGGGAGGTAACGTTGGAATAATATGAAAGTAGAAAAATTCGTTAATGAAAGTTTACCTGGACGGGATGAGATAAATTTAGAAGCAGAGAATACAATTTTTTTTAATAACAAAAAAAAATAAACAGAAGCATGACTGAACATTAAAAAAGTAATGTTTGTGGAAAGGAATCCGCACCACCGATGACGTCTCGAACATACGCAGAGAAAATGTTTTCTCATAGGAAGAAGGAAAATGTTCGATAACTTAAGTTTAAATTCCAGCCAGTCTCATTCGAGTTGATCCTTCTATCACTATCGAAACGATCGTGAATGTGTATGTTATATATATTTTCCAGCTAATTGCAATTCACCGTATTAAATATTTATGCAGACTCATGGATAAATTTTTAAGGGGAAGTAAGCGAGCATTAGATGATAGTCAAGTATCAACAAGTACACCGACGAGCATGGCTCCAAAAGTAAAATCAAGGAAATATTCTCAAGAATACTTAAATTTTGGGTTTACCAGTACTGGAGTAAATTAAGAAAAAAGGCCCCTATTTATCATTCGCTCAAAAATGTAGGCCGCAGACAGCAGGAAACCTATAAAATTTAAACGACATTTGGAAAAGCTTCATAGTGAGTACGTCAACAAACCGAGAGAATTCTTCGAATTAAAATTAAAATCATATAAAAAGCAAAAATCATTTTTCACAGAAACTTTGTCTGTGAATAAAAAAAAGCTTTAATTGCATCTTACAAAGTTTCATATAAAACAGCACAGATGTAAAAACCCTCACACTATTGGTGAGGAACTTATTTTGCCAGCAGCAATTGAGATAGTAGAAACTATGTTAGAAGATAATTTTTCGAAATAATTGGAATCCATACATCTTTCAAATGATACTATTGCTAGTCGAATTCGTGATATAGCTGGAAATTTGCAGTGTCAGCTTTTCTCTAAGTTGCGTGATAAATTATATTCAATGCGGCTCGATGAAGCAACCGATAGTAATGAAGATGCTCATTTAATTACCGATGTTCGATTTCATGATAATATGTCAGTAGCAGAATAACTACTTTTCTGCAAACCAATAGAACTCAAAACAGCAGCGCTCGCATTATTTGCTATTTTAAATAGTTTTATATACGAGGCAAATATAGAATGGAAAAATTGCATTGGAATATGCACCGATTGTGTTTTCTCTCAATGTAACGAAGATTCCAAAGTATACAAGCACTTGTGAAACAAAAATCGCCTCAGTGCGTCTGGACGCATTGCATGAATCGCAGAGAAGCTTTAGCTTCGAAAGAAATGAGTATTGGTCTGAATATTGTGTTAAGTACGGTTGTAACCGTAGTAAATTATATAAAAATGAGACCCCTGAAATCGAGAATATTTTCCATACCTTGTAAAGACATGGGTTCAGTACATTCAGCGTTATTATTTTATTACGAGGAAAGATGGTTATCACGTGGCAAATTTTTGCAACATGTTTATGAATTTAAAAACGAAATCGCCAATTTCCTAGAAGAAGAAAGCAGATCGGAAGCCGAGAATTTTCGCGATGATTTATTTGTGATGAAATTGAGCTACTTGGCAGATACATTCAAGAAATTATTTAACTTGAATCTTCTACTCCAAGGAGTGAATATACATATGTTGGATACGAGTGGTAAAGTTAATGCTTTTTGTAGAAAATTGGAATTGTGAAGCAGAAATTTAAAGTAAAAAAGCCTAAGAATGTTTGCAAATGTTGAGGATTGTACTAGAACTTACAAGGCTAAAGAAGAACATCTAAAATTTGTTTTTGTATCCTTAGAAAATCATTTAACCAGGCTGGAAAATAATTAAAAAAAGTATTTTCTTACTGACGACAAACTTCAGTTTATCGTCAGCAAGAAAATACTTTTTTTAATGATTTATTTTTTAAATTTTTCTAAATATTTTTTTAATTTGCTATCTAGCAAATTACGAGTGGGTTAGGGATCTATTCCATAAGACTCCCGAAGGACTCTCAATTGATGAGGGAGAAATATTCATAGACTTCACGACAAGTGGCGAAACCAAAAGACAATTTGTTTTTGTGATAGATTCTGGTATTTTCTTAAATTGGTTATTTTTATACTAGTTATGGGTTAGGTTAGTCAACTCTTACTTACTAGTTACGGTTAGTGAACTGTTTTGAAAAAATTAACTCAATAATTCATGATTTATTTTAATGAGTTAACTCAAAAGAATCACTAGTGACGTCACACGAGAACTATCAATGTAAATGATACATGTAAAAAAAAATTGTCAGTCCAAGTGTCTTTTCTGAAGATGATTTGAGTAAGTGAAAACGTGATTTCAATATATGGGCAAAAGCTACAATTGTGAAATTGTGCCATAGAATAAATGAAATTTTATTTTACAATTAAAAGTACATGTGATATGTATTAGAGAGATAGGTGTAAGATTTTGCAAAAAAAAAAAAAAAAAAAAAAAAAAAAAAAAAAAAACTTCAGCCACACAGACTTAATCAGAAAATTAGGTAAAATCATCAAAACTTATAGCTATGGCCACCTTTGGCTCACCCACCCTAAGTTTTGATTTCATAAGTTTTTTTTTACTTTAATAAGTTATTAAATAAGTTGAAATGTATTTTGCTTTCTATGCGTATGTGTGCCTTCCTTTCAGTCAGTTAATCAATTTTTTTAAATAATATTTTCTCCTGGATATTTTCGCGCCACCCCTCTAGTGTGCTCGCCCCACTGGTTGAGAATCGCTGAAATATCCCAAGTTTGAATCATAGTTATGATTGGTTACTACAAAATTTGCCGACACAAAAGATTCTTAGTTGTTTAAAAGTCTGTTGAGACAAAAAATTTATTTTTGCTGTAAAATCTTGTTTTGTTGCGGTACAAAAATGCAAGTTTTCCTTCGTATTTCTTGAGGATAAAACTTGCTCTTGTTTGATAAAAAACCGTTAAGGTTGCAGATTTATTTTGGAAATGTTACGGTTTTACACAACTTACCCCACTACCAATTTGAAACGGCAAATTTTACGATATTTTTTTGCAGCGTACTTAAAACAATTATTCGATCTGTGAAAATTGTGAAATAGCAACTAATTATATAGTTCATTCAGACCACAATACCCGGTAATCCCAACAATGGTTCTGAGAAAATTTGAAAGCATTATTCTTTTAAAGAGAAACGAAAATTTATTAATTTTATTAATTTATATTCTTTTAACTTGTCATATCAAGAAGCTTCATAAAATTAATATTTAAAAAAAAATATTTTATGATTGTTTGGAAGTACGTTTGAAATGCTTGGAATATATATATTTCCTTGCTTGCATATAATATGATCACGTGCTTGTATAACATTTGACTATTAATATTTATTATATTTCCATATTTTCGACAATATCACTTACTGTTATATTTGACTATTGTTATTTATTTTATTTCCATATTTTCAACAATTTCACTCACTGTTATACTTTTCTATCTTTAAAAACGTATTTAAAACATCAATTTTTCTAGAAAATTCTTGATCCGTTAAAATAACATTACTATTCCTTCAAAAACATATTTTTTTATATTTGTATGATCTGAAAGTAAATGAAACATATTCCACTTTTATAGAAAAAATGAAATATTCGTGTGATATATTAAAATGCAAAGCGTGTTGTATGAGTGATTTAGTACTTACAACTCCAGAAGAAGAGAGGATATTGCGCCTAACCATGAGTTAAATATAAATTAATCAGATATGTGTGAGCAATGCCACGTGGGAGTGTCGAACCTGGTTGACTTCTGAATCAAAAAATGTCACGATATACCTACGTCACGATATACACTTGCAGATATCCAATTGTTGAGTTGCATGAGAGCCAAACAATGGAATTTTATATTGTTTGAAGTTTTCGAATCATTAAGATTCAAGTTTTTAAAGTTTAAAATAATATTAGATTCACCAGCTTGGGTAATATTTGACTCTTATTTTTATATTTGTTTATTATTAATTTGCTTAAAAAAATTTAATTCAATTTTATTTGTTTCAGGAAATTTTAAATACATAGTATATTATCTAGCATAAGACTAAGTATATTTTGAACTGCAATGGATAATAATAACAGCTTTAACGAAACGAAAATAACGACACAAAAATGCGCTTGGACTCTGGTATACTGAATTACTGTTTAATAAAAAAGAACCTTCTTCAGAGTCAAAGCACAGAAATTATGACTTTCTTTCTTTCTTCTCCGGAAGTTATTTATTGCATGTAGAACCAAAACAATAGTGTCATTATTGGTTTTTTAAAGTTCTTTAGTTTCATAGTATATTACTTTTAATTTAAATCTACCGTATATCCCAGTGCATAAGTCGACTCGTTGTGTAAAGCGACTTTCTATTTTTTGATTATGAGATGGCAAATTTTTAGTATGTCGGAGGTTTAAAGCAACAGCTGAAAAAAAAACAAATATTTCTAAAATTAAAAATCATTATAAAATGATTAAATCTATGAAATTTTCTGAAGTTAAAAATAGTTCACATTGTATGCAACACATTTGCCCTCACATAAAAATAATGCATTAACAAAGGCTGTGAAGATTATGTTAACGCTGCTAATGTTTTTGAATTAAACACAGAAGATGTTCTGGAATCTTTTCAGTTGTAGCTTTATGACATATTTTAGAATTTTTATTGTATGTTACTTTAAGAAATCTTGAATAAATTATCTTCCCCTTTCTAATTCTTCTTTCTTTCCTAAGTGTTATTTAAATTATCGTATAAGTAAAACAAAATATGACAAGAGAGAATGAAAAAAAAAATTATTGCATATAACAATACAAATGGTTTTTAAAGAGAGTAATTCAAATCTATCACATGTCTATTTCATTGCTTATAATGCAATAATATATCATGATCAACAAATACAGGAATTTATTACCATTATATAAGTCAACCTTCAGAATTTTGTATGATTTTGGGAGTTCAAAAAATTGACTTAAACACCGGGATATACGGTAATTAATAAAATTTAGCGATTATAAAGAGAGAAATATGTAGAATTCGTGACTCAGCAAAATCAAAGTAGAATCAGTATTTAAGTAATTGTAAATATATAAAAAAAACATAATAAAGGCAATTATGAAGTATTTTACAAAATATGTGTTTTATATGAGATTTTTTATGATTTATTTATTTTGACTGACTGTTCTCAAAGCGTCAGATGTATTAAATTGAGAGTTTTACTACCAGTTTGTGAATTGAAAGCATTGAGTAAAAAAGATATTATTAAATCATGAAGATGTCATAGGATATCATAAAACTAGTGGATGAATAATAAAAATGAAGCTGAATATATATATATATTATAAAGTTTCCAGGTAAATCTTTTCTTAAATCATGACTCAATATTACACATATTAAATTAAAGTGTCTCTTCATTGATCAGGAAAGAATATTCCCTAAGTTATTTTACGTCACAATAACGTAAAAACTGCTGAAAATTGACACGTGACAGCCTTTTGATGAAAATTACCACTGCAATTAATTATCATCTGATCAATCAAGTTCTTTGTCTAGAGCAAATCATAATTAAAAATCAAGCACATCGATTACAAATCATGAGTTTGGAAGTAAAAGTCCTTTCAAATGTGTAATATTTATTTTATAATACTATAATTGGACATGTTCCATAGTGTTTTACGGTTTTTTGACCATGGTAATTATACTAATAAAAAAATTAGTAAAATCAATGTTATTATTATTTGTACTTTATTAACAGATTTTTCCATGATATTTGGAATGGTTTTCCTTCTTTTTTTCAGAAAATGAATTTGCCATTCTCAGGATGTACCTGGAAAAAAAATAACATTTTGAATTTAAACCATTTTGAAGGTTTAAAATTATCTAATAAAATATTCTTNAAAATTATTCACTCAACATATATATAGTAAAGGAAATTCTGTTTGCTTACACTTGTGCCTCTACTTCCAACATTCAAATATTATTATCTATTAGTATTAGAAATATTTAGGTCAATTTATAGGCAGAAGTAGTTTTTCTAAGTAATCATTTTTTAAGATAACAATTATTATAACAATATATAGTTAAAATAATATATCGTTCAATAAAATTTGATGAGTTGACCACCGTAAAGATTAACACATTTAAGATTTCCGCTTACCAAATGGGCAGATATATTAAATATAAATTTTGCTTGCATCTCATTGAACATGAAGCTGATCATTAAGTTATAAATCATTTAGCAGATCTCTTTAACAGTAACTTGTTGCAGAATATTAACGTTATTTGCACAACAATAATAATTGTAAGACGGTGAATAAGATTTGACGACTGTTTTAACTACTGAAAATATAGAGCTGAATTACATTGTAATAATAATAAAAAATACAACTATTCTCTTAGTTTTAAACTCGAAAATTGAGTTAAAAACGTAATAATAGCTGTACAGGAAAATAAATTTAAATTAGGGATACAAAAATATTTATAGAAAAACAATATCTTTACGACTTATATTAGTTTTATGCTGATGACAATCGAAACAAAATGGAAATAAATGAGAAAAAACTGGATCCTACCACGTGATTTTCAGGGCAATGAAAATGCATGGACAACAACAATTACACCATCATTAAGCAGATCAAAACAAAATAAAAATTTCAACTAACTTTAGCTATATAGTAAGTTTAGTTGTAACAATTGAACAGACAAAATTATTACTTTTTCACACTCACGTCTTCTCAATTTTGATTGTCTGTTTTGTGTGTTACTAACCGCAAGTCTTCTGTGATTGGCTATGTGTTACCATTTTATTCACTTCTTATACTATATATATATATATATATCGGTTGATTGAGAATTGATGATTGAAAATCCATATCATAGAAAAATTATGGGGCGGATAGCTAATTGCGCGGAAGGATACTAAAAAGAGAATGATAGAAAAGGTTTTCTATTACATAATTAAACATATGGTGAATTTAAATTATATCCACTGAACAAGACTATTTTAATAAAATAACATTACTTTACTTAATTGAATATGTGCACATTTACTCTGTATATTACTTGCAACTCTTATTCACAGTCTGTTATTAAGAAAAATTATAATTACTTAGTTTCGGTCGACATGTAGGGCAACAATCACAATTGTGTATTTGAGGTGTTTCATTATCAGAGCAGTGTAGTGTTGGGCAGTTTGAGTTATCAACACACATCGATAGGCAATTACCATTTACTGAAGCAATACTTATCAGTAACAGGAGTATCACAACTTCTTTCATTTTTTATTGAATGAAACTAAAATGGAAACTCTTTTTAATTACAATTTTAAAACTATTCACACCATATTTTTTTTCTGCTAATTTATTTAGATTATAAAAAAAAATCTGCATATTTCAAGTAAATAAATTCCATAGTGGATATAGAGTAATAGAAAATCATGCTGTCAAACATTGATTATTGAGCATACGAATTATAAAGAGAAAAAATCTACATATTTCAAATAAATAAATTCTATATTGAATAAAGAGCATTAGAAATCCATACTGCCAAACATTGACTATTGCACACATGAAACATTGGAACAAAATTCGCTAAATTTGATATAAAGAAGTATGAATTTTATATGAAACATTTATCTAAATCCTAACAGTAAAAATAATTAATATTTAGTACCAAGCTAGCTTATCATTTCTTTTATTAATCCCATGCGAATGTACTAGGAGAGAAGCTTTGAAAATGCGTAAGAGAAATATTTTCTAGATGTAATAGAGAAAATATTTTAACTGTATATTAATATGAATTTGAGTGCTTGATTATAAATCTAAGAAATTAATACGCTATAAAATTTTAATAAATAAGTTAAAACTGAATGGGGTATTTTTAAAATGTCTAATTCCACAGATTATTAATTATTTAAAGGTGTTCCTCTATTACAAAAGCTATATTTATTGCATCAAATAACATCTGTGTCTTATAATTACACTATATTAATTTGAAATAAGTACATCAACAAAGATAAATGGAATTTTAAAACTTCATTAACCACTAAAGTGTATTATTCACTAAGCAATGTTTTTCAGGTACTTACCGCTATAGCTGAAAACTTTGAAATGTGATGAAATTAGTAGTATCACTTTTATAAAATGATGTGTCAAGCTTTTTTGGCAAAGTGCCATAAATTGAAATAAAATTTCCAATTCATATCCGATGCTTGATTTTCCAATAACAAATTTATATCATTATTTAACAAAGTTTCAGAGATCGAAAAATTTTTATAAAATTTTAAGATTGTTTTTATCATTTAAAAACGTAACGCAATTATTTCCCTTTCAATTAATGAAAAATTATGCTTTTTACTTCAGAAAGAATCATAGATAAGGCTTTGTTTTTTACCCCCTCCAGGTATTGAACTATAAGTGATACAGCGTTTCTGAAAGTTATCTTGGTTCCTCAAATTTTTGAATGAAATATTTCAATACCAATTGGAATAAACTATTGAAAATTTTAAGTAGCGTAAGTCACAAACATGATATAATTTATTTATAATATATGACTAACCGCCTCTGGTGATTGGCTAGTGCATGTTTTGAAATAAAAAGAAATCCAAGTATTTCGAGATTTGAAATCATGCACTCAAAAATCAAGAGATTCTGCAAGAATAATTTTTCCTATGCACAAGTAAGAATGGATTTAATTAAGGAACAAAGGATCAACTTTGTTTCAATAAAAATGTGCACTTATTTGCTTTAATTAAATTTCGTTTTTTATCAAATAAAACTATCTCGAATCAATGAATTTTACTTGTAACTTTTTTACCACAAAGACAAACTTTTAGCTGCTATAAATTGTTTTAGGTTATTAGAAAATACAGATCCGAAACTGTAAATTACACCTTTAAAATCGAAAAACTAATTCAACACATACATATTCAAAATCGCCTTTGGAGGTCCTTTTTATGGGAAATTGATGGCATTCCAAAGTAAATGATTTTCTAATTGATGAAACATTTTAAAAATTTCAATAAGTTAGAGATATTTCTAGATTTTTTTTTACTATTGTAAATAAAATCTACCAATGTATAGTAATATTTTATAACTGATAATTTTTTTTACGTTATGCGAAAATAATCAAAAGATACGAATACAGATTAATAACCAACACATTTTAAAATGTAACAACAAGGCAACAAAGCATCAACTAGAGTGTTTTTTGAACCTTTCATAGCTAGTCAAAAGTCTTGTTCAGATGTTAAAAGCATGTTTCCTTTATCTGTTGAGTCACAATGTCCTCCATGTTCTCATAACAAATTATACTTCTAGTGGCACTGATCCAGGAGTTTTCTTGTCTTCTGGAATTGGTTCAAAATTACAAGGCTACGAGGTTGAACATTAATAATCGCAAACCCAAAATTAGGTCAGCTGTTCAACGAGGGTTATAAGAAAGGGGGGGAGGGCACTTTTCTTGCCGTTGTTTTGAAAAGGAAAGCTTTAAGTAGTAACTAGAAGTCCCTTAAAAAATTTCCTATATGCTACTATTGTTCATGTGTTTGACTTTATAACTCATTTTATCAGAGCTTTTTGATGTGCAACCCATCACCCATTGATGTACAACCCATTTTATCTATAATTGAGAGTAAATAGTTTTATTAGTAGTACATATCTTTTAAAGGAAAAGGATTACCCAAAACTGTCATATATAGGAAAATCATTGACAAATCGCAAAAAATTTCCACAGCAAAAGAAAAGTGGGGGTAAATAGTTTCGAATCTCACTTCTTGTCACTACCATTGCTACTTAAAGTTTTCACCGCTACAAATGTTCATAGTAAGTGTAAATCTTCGAACATTACTTCGCTTTCTATCAGATAAAATAAATTGTTAGACTCTTTTAATAAATTTATGCAAACTTTGAATGCCAATGTGAAATGATTTCATCTTAATATAATCTTGAAAATAATGAAAACAATGTGGACCACAGTTGACTGGAATGGACAATCTTATGAGGAAAATTTCACTAGCCAATATGCATGAATTTTGCTGATTTATTAATCAGATCATGCTGTTTAAATTTTAAAGTAAGGAAAGCAATGAGAAAAAACGTTTAAAGCCTAAGACGTTAAATTATATGATTTTATAATTTAAGTCTAACTAACAGATGTCCCGTTTTTTTTCTTCATTAGAGACATTTTTTCTCTCAAATGGTTCTCCAAGAGATCTGCGGTGATGTAGAAGTTAGAGCGTCCACTTCAAAACGAGATGTCCCAGGTTCGAATCCCAGCTGGGACTGGTTGATAGGAATTTTGCTCCCGGCTCGTGGTTTTAATGGTGGTTTCCTCTACATATGGGAGGTGATTACCAGTTAGTTCGATCAAAAAGTCCTCCAGGAACGTTAGCTTGTCCCAATGTTTGATCAAAGAGTTCCCTTGTCTTCTGAGTTTTGTTCAAAATTTGCTTGACTATGGAGTTGAACATTGATAATCATAAACTCAGAACAGGGTTGGCTCTTCAACGACGGTTATAAAATGAAATGGCTCTTCAAAAATCAAATAAAACCTTGTGTTAATTTTTGGACAAATTATTAGTTTTCTCAACAATAATGTCTTAATGGATACAATGTAACCCAGCTAAAAAAATGTGGAGCATTATAGTAACTGTGTTTCGTATTGAAAGCCTCTCGTTTCTCTTCCTCTTTCTTAAAGGAAGAAAGGAAAAGGAAGAAAAGAATGGAAAGTTCTTTCCTTTTTCTATTAAGCAATGAAACACGTGGTAGAAATTCATTTTTCAATTCTGTTGGTATTATTGTTTAGTGCAAAAATATTTCAGATCTATCAACAAGTTGTATTGTTTTAAGTTCATTTATGTCTTAAGAGATTTATACATTGTTCCAAGAAGATATAAATCATTTAAGTTATTTAGAACTGGTATATGTTGAATACACAGAATACTTATGATCGTATACTAAATATCCATAAAATACACAAAACTAATTTTTTTAAAAACTTTATTGATTAGTCACAATAATAAACGTCAAAATCATAATGCCTTCGTAATCAGAAGATCATTTGCGTTGTTTCACTTCTCCCTTGCTATAAAAATTGTTTTGTATGAACTGACTGTTACGATTTACCTGTAATTAGTAAAGTAAAGTAATATAATATACAGTTTAATTGGAAAGAAAAGCTGAAACAACTACAATGAACTAATGAAAATTGTCTGTTATTATTTTTTTTTTATTTAAAACAACATTGTATTTAATAATTCATTTGTTAGCCTTATAAGGGCGATAGAACTTTATACCTAAATTGAAGAGAGGAGCCTGAGTGACCCCTTAGGTATTTTTGTGGGCACTTCATAACATTATAGAAGTTTGAGTATGTGGCAGGTATAACGCACCCCAGTCTCATTAAAAACACGAGCATCAACACACACACACTGATTGTTTTTAATTCCAGTTTCATATTTTTAAAATTTAATATTGGAAATGCATATATGCTTCTGAAAAAAACATAACCATATTAATTACCAATAATAAGGGTGATACTTCAAGATATAGGGAAAGAAAACTAGAAAAATACTCCGTAAATTCAAAATGTTGACTAAGCAGGGATTTTCATTTTCGATGAGTAAAACACAGTAGTATAGTCTTTATAAGTATAAAACATAACTCCTAAATAGGTTTTGCACATTTAAATTTCTTTAAAGAAATTTTTAAATTTGTTACTTAATAAAAATTGATTTTATAAAATAATATTCAGGAATTTACAATAATTTTCGTCATCTTATTAGCAAAATTAGGTATAAAGTGTTATAAAGAAAAGAAGTGACAAAAAAACTTTTATGAATTATTCTAATGAAGTGTTTGTTTACAGTAATGTTTTTATTTTATTTACTTTTCACATTATGTTCGGTTTTTCAATAAATTTCAGAAGTTTTTATTTAATTATCATTATAGAAATTGCTACCTTCAACAGGACATATGAGGCAGCAGCCGCAAGCAGGTGCTACAGGATTGCCACATAATAAAACTGGGCAGTTATTGTTTTCTTCGCATGCAATATCACATATTACCCTAGCATAGGTCGATGCTATTTGGAAGAGGAGAAAAATTAAGACTATTTTGTACATTTTCCGAGAAACCTTGAGAACTGTAAGGAAAAAAAAGAATAGTAGAATTATGCCCCTTTTTAAATATATATCTAATTATAATGCACACATAGTATAAGTGTTTTAGTATAAAAAATATATATATTTAAAATATGCAATAGTTTATGAAAAAAGCTGAATTAAAACTTTATTTTTTAAACTGATTTGTTGACAATTCAGGGCTAAAAAATAAATAGTAAAACGACTAAAACCTGTATGGTTTCTAGCAGGAACACATTTTTGTTTAAAGGCTATATTACAAATCAGCTAGTAAAAGTCATTGGATAGAGCTCAGGGGATAGAGTGTTCGCTTCTCAATGAGGTATAACGAGTTCAAATCCCAGAGATGGCTGATCAATACAAATTCTGCACCGAGGTCGCTCAGTGCTAACGAAAAATTATCTTCAGTGGTAAACGAATCATGAGGTAGAGTCCTCTTGTCGTTACACTAACCGTGGGAGGTCTTCGTGGTTTTTCTATTCATGTAACGCAAATGAGGGTTAGATCCATCAAAAAGTCCTCTACGAAAGCAATTTTCTCCCAATAGTTGAAAACAACTTAAAACTAAATTAATGAACAGGAGACATGAAAATAATAAACACCATTAATTTTTAATACTGAAGGTTGATCACTTCGGGGACTTAAACTGTCTTTAAAAAGGGCAATATTAGTGAAATAGAATGTGGCTAATCAGTAGTTTGTTACTTATAAATTCAATTTTAAGGGAGAAGCTATTAATTTTATAACTTATTCATATCTCACAAAATTTGAATAAAAAATAATCAGTATTAAATAGCTTGATTTACTTACATGGCCGTGTATTGAAACAAAGAGCCAAAGGAAAAAAACATGCACTGATATTTGAAGGGCAACAATGAAAAATAATATTTATCTTCAAATAATTAACATGTTGTTCAATACAGATGAACAAATCATTATTTAAGTAATGTAATTTATTAAGAAACCAATTTAGGTATTTTTAGATGGAGAAACAACTTACTATTTGAAATGTGTTTGTATTAGTTATGGTGATTGTACAAGTTTAAGCACTTTTCATATTATCATCGTTGGGAAATAGATAGCGATTTCTCTGGCAATAAATGTATAGAGTGACATGACAAAATCTATGTTGAAACACAATAAATATTTCTATGAGTGGCAGTTACAGTGCTTAGCGATAAAGTTTTATTAATGCATCCAATGTCAAATAATTACAATATTTGTGAAAACAATGAGCTCTTTATTACCAGGGAGGATGGACAAATAAAGAAAATACCAAAGATTCTAAAACTGGCCGACGATTTTAAATACCAGTCACAGGAAATTTCAAAGATGCAAAAGTTTACAGTTAAATAAGTTCACTTTAGAAAACTACTTATTTTTTCGTTCAAAATTTCAAAGTTATAAGTTCATTTTTCTCACGGATAGCTCTGTTAGGTAGAAAATTACATAAGAAATACTTTTTCTGCATGAGAGACTGTTTCAAATAAATTATTTTAAAGTACGTGATCCAGAGGACGTTATGTGTTCATCAGGTTCGAGACGGGGATCTCAAATATGCTAATTAATTACTGCAGACGGTATTTTACGGTACAAATTTAGACACAAAAACGTTTCTTTTTTTCTGAATAAACATTTTCAGGAAAACTAATGAATTTCTGACTTCCAAAATATAGGGAATAGCTGCTATTTGGGAAACATGGTGGAAATTGTCTGATCGAGAGAACTATCGAAACTTGAATACGCTAATGTAAATTTCATTTTTTGCTCGTTTTACTACATCTAGAGAAATGCTTTAAGTGTATTGAAATATTTTTGCAGACAATTATAAAATTTCTTTACCCGATTGTAATTTTAGGCAAAATTTAACCTTTTGCATATATTTATTATGTTCTTATCATTGTATTTAATAACAGTCGAAAATTTTTTGAACTATCAGGCATAATTTTTTTAGATCATTTCAGAGAGTTAAATTTTACATGTGAAATTTCAAAAAAAAAGAGCGAAATCGACTTAATAGCTCCTGAGAAATCAAATTTCTAAGCGAATTTTAATATTTTTTCAGAAATCATGTGACCGATTTCACTTAAATTTTATAATTTGCAATTTAAAATTGCTTTCCTTAAAATAACGTAATAAGTTGCATATCGTGCAATTCAAAATTTTTTCAAATTTTATTAAATAAAATTGTAAAATATAATAAATATTTTCTAAAACTTTTTTACATGCAATTATCTTTGGATGAACAAATTTTATAATAGCAAGCAAACATTTTTGAATCCGCTAAGAAGCTCTCTAGATATAGTTTTACACGCAAAAAGTAAAATTAACATTAAGGAGTCTAAGCTTTGGATCTCCCACGTAACCAAACTATTAAGGATCATATTTCCCAAATTGCAGTTAAATATGCTGGGATCAGAAATCCGACTCCGTCGAAATAAAGGTGATTTTGTTCAGAAAAAGTACGTCTGATTAGTCTGATTTCATAATTTAAATATCGTCTACCCTAATTACTCACCATATTTGTGGTCAACCCTTTAAACCATTAAGATTTAGTCCGAGAATGTGAAGATCCGATCATTAGGTGAGAAGTTACTTAGGGTGTTTTTTTTTTAATTTTGCACACTGTACATGATGATTTAAGGAAGAAAAATTTGTTAGTTGATATTTTTCAGTTAGCAATCTGAGTTTTAACGAACTATGTAGCTAATTTTGAAACTTGAAGAAAAGAATGGTTCATAAAGCAGAAAGCCCCATGCTTTTTCATCTGATTTCGTTTTTCTTGAACAATTGTTTAGGATTTTTTTCTTTACACATACTGTGCTTTTTCTATGTGAAAAGTTTTACCTATTGCCACTTTTAAAAAAAATTACCAATAAACTTCAGCGCAATATAACTGATTTGCTATATAAATCTAGGTTTGATGGCCATAGAGGAGATATGACTCCGATAATTTTTAATGTATTGTTGTAGATGTCTTTTTTCCGGAAGCAGTTTCACTTTTTTGCATTTTTAATAAAGCATTGCTTTTTATGAAGAAAAAAAACACGTTAAAAATTAACGTTTACTTTATTTGGAGTTCACGAATCAGGTATTTAAATTATTATTATATTATATTTCTCAATAAGTTGGACCTTTAAAGAGCATAGTATCAGTATAGTTCCCGAAAAAAAACAGATGAATATTATAGGGGAATGACACTCTAAATTCGATGGCCATCTCATCATCAACTTAAGTAGAAATGGTCCCATCAAATCGAGGAGAAATGACGACTTTTCATTAGCATGCATTTACTTATGAAGACGTAGATTCGTTAAAAATTAAAAATAGATAGCAAAATTATATTGCTAGAATTTCCTTTCTCGTATTACGGTAACATTACCGGCAGCAATCTGCCCATCCAATTAACTGTAAAGTTTAAGGCAAAGATTTTTTTTGCACCTTTGAAACTAGTATCGTTAAAAAATTCTTAAATTTAAAACAATAAGGTTTTTTAACCATTTACAACTAGCATGGCTTCAAAATTGCAAAATGAAGTTTAACTGGACATTGGAGCTAGACTTTTCGATCGATAGGTGAAGGGAATGGGGAATACTGTGGTGTCAGAACAGGAACTCAAACCCCCGTTCGTTTTGAAATTAGCCCTCTCTGCTGTAATACGTACTCAGATAGAAGGAACTATGAGTCTTCGTTAGGTGGGCTTAAATGGTGTGATAAAACTCTGATGTTTAACCATATTAGGCGAAAGCAGTAAATAAACGGTTTGAATAAATAATGATTTTTTGAATATTTTGTTTAAATATGGTAAAATAACGGTTAAAGGAATTGTTATTTAAACATTTATTCCTAGAAATTTCTAATAGTGTAAGAAAAATAAGATGCATTTTATTAATTTCACTCTCACCACCATGCTTGAATCTACAAATATATAAATTAATATAGTAATATTATAATAAGCATAATATAGTAATAATAAAATAACAATAGTAAAATATAGTAACGAAATCTTTAGTTTCGTTGGTTTTCATTCAGCTTAGTTTGGTTAGTAATTCGTTTGGCTTCATAAAAATATTTAAATAGCAATTATTAATTAGTTGCTATTTAATTTTAAGATATATACTCCATAAACCTGTATTTTACTATAACGTATCTAAAAAATAAGTGTAACCTTTTGCACTATAAAGAAGAAAGCATTAGTTTTCTGGAAAGTTCTAAAAAATATTATATAACGATTCTCTCAATCTGAATGAATTTATTTTAAGGCTATATTTTAGTCTGGTAACTTTATTTATAATTTATAGAGAGTGTTGCAGCGCTTTTATTTATTCATAATGAATAATTGACAAAGAATATCTGCAGTCTTTGGTTTGTACAAATGAGGTATATGACATTAAAGGTGGATTAATTATGCACAATGCTATGACAGTTCTTACTTAAAGCATAATTCTAATATTTCCGTTTATTTTGTTGACTATTTATAGTGACTCAGAAGAGTTTTTATTAGGATACCATTTGTTATGATTGACCTGAAATAATAATAGCTGAACATATATGACCATAGCTGAACATATAGCTGAACATAGTGAACGAATAGCTGAATATGTAGCTGAACATATCTGAAAGCGTGTGCGACTATGTCAAACGAATGCAAGATACCTTATAGTAACTTCCCTTTAAAATGATTCAAAGGATAAAAACTGAATGAAAAGTATACATAATGTGACTTAAATTAATCCCAAATTAATGTTCAGGTGAGGGAAAGGTACTAAATAAATTTTGCGAATAATTATTAAGGAAAGCAGAACTGAAAGCATATAAACAATGCTTGATTAGAAACATGTCCAGTTTTATTCAGGCACACAAATAAGTATTAATATGTTTAGTTTCACTTTTGACAGTATTAATTTGTATTATTATCCTTGTATCACTATTAAAACTTATGTGTTTATGAATGAATTTTACATAATATAGAACTAAGGATTCTAAGGATAACGCCTGGTGGCTGAGCGGTAGCGCTTCCGTGCCACAGGTCCTGGGTTTGATCCTCAGGCCGGGCAAGGTTGACTGAGCCTTTAATCCCTTCAGTGGGTCGATAAATGAGTACCAAGCATGCTTGGGAACTAAGCACTGGGGGTTTGGCGTTCGGCTGACCACCTAACCGGAACATCTGCTCCTGCACCCCAGAGCCCAAGGACAAGAAAACTGAGATGAGCACAGTAGGCCTTGGCCCTCCATGGGCTGTCGTGCCACTGAGTTTAGTTTAGTTTAGTTTAGTTTAGAACTAAGGATTCACTTCTTTGCGTCCACATAATAATAAAATATCTTTCCTTTTTATATATGATACAGTGTCAGTTTCTTTAGTTATTACAAGTTATCTGTTTGGATTAATTAAAAAAATACTTATTAAATGAGATTTAATAAATAATTTTTTCTTCATTAGAATTTAGTTTAGTTAAAATTCTGATATTAATTTTGCTATTTCGCAATGTTCTACTCAATTTAACAAGTTTTTCATTTTTTTCTAATGAAACAGAAATTGTTAATGATTATTATATTTTTAATAGTTATATAAAGTATTAATTTCCCTTTTTAATACCGTATTAGTTCGTTTTTGAATATATAATGTTAATATATATGCAAGTTATAAATGAAATGTTTTGATTTGATCATAAAATGTCAGCAATGGTATGTTTCTTTGCATTGAGCTGCTCTCTATTGAAAATTCTAAAACTCGGTAAGTACCGCTCTGTAAACAATAGTAAGACAACATTTCATTTTAAAATGTCACAATTTTTAAGATGGTCCTTTTTATAATATTATTGCTCAAAGTGTACTTAAATTACATCTTAGAATACAGAAGTATCTTAATAAGGATTTGTGACATAGCGAGCAAAAATGAATGGTGAGGAAGTACTTTAACCGTCATGAAAACTCATACATTTGAAGCTTAAATTGCAGTATAAATATTTACATGGAAATTATTTTTCGACAATTATTACCTCACAGTTAATACCTTAGCACTGGCATTTACCACGATGTTTTAGCCCATTTGAATCAGAATCGATTTCTGATCCACACTCAAGTGCACAATAAACATATAGAAATTCAGTGTATGCCAGACATGCAAGTTTATACCAGTAAAGATAAAAAGAACGTGGAAAAATAAATACTTCGAAATAAAATTGAATAAAATTAAAATAAAATAAAAATTATATTCAAATATTTTTACGATAAAGCTTTTTATGTTGAATTTTAATTAATTTTTAATTATACAGTTATGCGTGCATTAAATTTAATTAGTTTAAAAGTAAATGAAAATATCATAAAATGAAGGCATTTTTTTGCGAAGTATTGAAGAGTTTAACACAAATTTACTTCTAATTTTAGTTTTTCGGAGTTTTGGTGCAGTATTTTTTATTAATAATGTTTTTAAAATATTAAAACATTTAAAAATACTTTCCGAAAAACAACAGGTAATTTGCTTTGTAGCATGGTACTTCTAAACAAATAACTTTAAAACAACAAGAAATTTTTTTTTACTCACTATGTTAGCATATATCACTTTTTTTCATCTTTTAATTTCGTATTATTTTAAATATTCAAAATAATTTTTAATTTAGCTAATTATTTTAACGAGTTCAGGGGAGTTCTGGAACCAAAAATGACATTTCCATGCAAAGCAACATCAAGTGATCAATTGAGTGATCAATATAAAAAAAGTAAAAACAAGTTCCAAACTAAGTATGACGCAAATGTTAATAGCGATAAAATGAACAAATGAAAAGAAAGTTCGCTTTTGTGTTACGGAATAAAAGAATACGTATTTGTCAGAAGAAGCTAAATCTTCTGAAATTAAAAGCAAAATCAATACATTAAGGACTGGTTTATTACCTAATTAAATGTTTGAAACAATAAAAAATCAAAAATTTATAATTGGATTTTCAATGAAAAAAAGCGGATGGCGCAATGACTTACTACGTGACTTGATCATTATCTGCTTCAAACAAAATACTAATATCTTTAGTTAGATAATTAGCAAGGGAAAAGTTTGTAATCACATGCGAAATGGTATGGTACACAATATTGCTTCGGATCTAAACACTGCCACATTTAATCATAAATACCCGACAACTATATCTTGTTTGATCAGAGCTCAGTTATCTCATTGGAGATTTGCCACCATAAATCAATTAGACTATCGTTATGATTTAAGTTCCAACATAAGAGAAATTTAATTTTGGCGATGAAATATACTTCATGTTCGATGGTAAAACACAAACATATTAGAAAGACATAAAAATTTTTTTTGAAAATATATTATAAATAATTACTGCTCTGTAAAAAAATAATCAGGATGAAATTACAGAAAAAAACCGGCGCTTAGGGTGCCAGTACTTTTTACCGCTAAATTTTAAGTAATCAAAAATATGATAAACCGCAATTTTTACAGTAATGCCTACTAAAATTAAACAATTATTATTGTAAAAATTACGATATACTTTTATGGCGAAAATGGATTTTACGGATGCTGCACTCAGGAAGCCATTACTTTTTACCGTAATTTGTTCCTGAATTTTAAAGAGTAAATATATCCAGTAAATGTTTTAATGAATGAAATTTGATATAATTTCCATGTAGCTAAAATTTTAAATGATTATAAACAGCCATCAGTGAATTAGGCCCACACAAAGTGTTGCCTGACTGTTTTGGGCCTTTAATTTTATTTTATTTTTTTCTCTTTCTCGAAAAGACTTTTTCAATGGACATGTTATAGTTTGTTAACATCAAAATTATTTATATCTTGAATTTTTTACAAAAAAAAATATTTGTAGGATGCACGTCAGGAGATTGAAATAACAAAGGAAAAACTAAACCTTTACTATTTTTCACATTCAACTATTACACACACATTCTTTGCTCTTATAAGTATTTTACATTGGTGTGTTATAATGTTATAAATTATGAAATTTTTCCAAATTTCGAAAATATCACAAGCTATATTGATAATTTCGTTCGCACAAGATGAAACACACAAGACAGTCGTATGTTTAAAAAAATTAAGAAAAGATAAAAAAGATAGTAAAAAGAGAGTAAAAATGAACCAATTTTTAAAAGTTCTTTTTATTGTGCTCAATTCTTTCAAATAAAATATTTTATAATTTTATGCTACATTCTCGTAATCATCTCTGTATCAATGTAATTTTCCGTATTCTTAATCTAAATAGTGTGACAGCTGAAAGAAGAAGAAAAATCAAGATTAGTAATTAGTATCAGTTTTAAATATTTTATTTATTATGTCCAAAATCTAGACACGTTAAAGGTGCATATATATATATATATATATATAAACTCAGGTTTGTGAAAATTGCAACACCATGAAGGAATCGTCATAATTGAATGACATTTACTACACAGTTGAGTGGTAGTGGTACAAATAAATGATTAAACTTTCAAAGNTCTCTCTATATATATATATATATATATAAATATATATATATATACACATTTCCGGTACTGTTGACATTAGTTGCAGATCATTTCTGAGAAAGCAAATCGAACCTCGAAATGTCGTTTTGTGTGCAAATATCAAATTCTGCATTTGGCTCGTGAAATCACCTTCTGAGACGTCCGAGATACCGAAGAAAGCATATGGAAACTATGCCAAGGCAAAAAAAGACTGCTGTGTTTGAGTGACATGGGCGTTTTCGTGAAAATCGAACAAGATGGAAAATGACTGTGGGTCTTGTTGCTCCTCATCCTTATGCGCAGGTGAAAATTTTAATTGCGTTTGAGAAATCATGCCTGTGGTCCGACAAAAACCATTGATGCTATTGTTTATGTATTTAGATTCTACATGAGAGTGTGCACATTATTCTTCAGGATGATTTGAAAAATTTTTTTACAAGAAAAATTTGTATTTTCAAAGTAAAATGCATCTGCATTTGACCACGCCTCTGAATTTTCAAATCATCATGCAATAATGATTTGCGGAAATGTTATCACCTGTAATGTTATCAAATCCAAAAATGTTATCACCTGTACAGAAAAAAGGGAGAGTAAACAGGGGAGGAGTTTTTGAGCATATGGTTGATGGTAGCTTATTGTAGAAAATCGTGACCGGTCATAAGACAGGATACTTTCTTTAGGACTCTCAGATAAGCAGTCACTCAAGTGAATGGAAAGCAAAAACATCATCAAGGAAGGAAACTTTTGAATGTTGGCGAAATATGTTGTTAATGTTTTTCGATCACAAGACCGTCATTTTCTGCAAATTTGTTCCAAAACGCTAAACTGTCTAAAAATCTTTACCGGGAGAACCTTAACCGCTTCCCTGATTATCCCGAGTTAACTCGGGTATGTATATATTGCATATATTTATTATCCGGAGTAAACTCGGGCAATAGAATATACGTCAATACTTTTTGCTTTGTTACGTTTATATTTGGCACGAAGCAAAGCAAAAAAAAATAATAATCTGCTTAGATTGGAAGTTTACCAATATTTGTTTGGGAGTTTTGCTATTTTCGGGACTGCAGACATGTTTTGTACAGTTGTATATAACATGGTTGAGGAATTTACATAGAAGAATATATATAATATATGAAATTTAAATGATCATTTTCTTTTAGAAACAGTGCGAAGAGGAATATTTATTTTAAATTAAGCTATAAATCAAAATTTTTTGTTTCACTTAAATATTTAATACTGACCTTAATGCTCGATTTGATGTTTTAACAGTGACATCCATTTTCTGTTGGCAATCCTAGGCCAATGTCAGAATCACCTGCAGCTGCACATGCAATACCGCATGCAATTGTAGCTTCTGTATACGCAAGATATACAAAAAGCATCAATGTAATTAGAATTCTGTACATTGTGTTTTCTTGTAAATAAATTTTCCTCTGCAATAAATAAAATAGAATTAATAATCTAATTAAAGAAAACTTTCAATAAATCACCTTCTCAAAAATTTATAATTTTTATTTTTATTCTAAATCCATAATATTTGAATTGAATTTTAATTATACGAAACTTATTTATATTTTTTGTAACTTCTCACTAAAATTCACTAAATGTAATAATGTAATACATTATTTCATCACGTACCCTGTCATTTTTTTAAACCAGTATTCAGGTAACTCCCTTAAAAAACATCTTGTGAGTCAGTATAACAGCAGTATTTTTTATGATAAAAGAAACTATATTAATTATATTAAATTAAATTATAAAACGTAATTAAGTAAAAAGTAATTAAATGAAATTTTTACAAATGATATTATTACGAAAAAGGAACAAGTTTATTTATATTATAAACTTTTGATTTTTTTATTAACATTTAAGTATAATAATAAAGAGTACTTACGAATCGATGACTTGCAAGTGAAATCAGATTCGAGATTACTTTTCAAATAATACCGAGTCATTCTAAAATTCAAGATTAACAAGATTCATGCATATTCATCTTTGTTTGATCAGATTACTGAGTAGTAAAATATAATTGAGATTTGTTTTATAAGAAGAATTTGTTTACAAAATTACCATATCCTCAATTTCACTGGAAAGTCATGCAAATATTGTTTCAGGTACGCTATAAGAAAGATTGAGAAACTTTCGTATTATACAGAACAGAAATTAGCACTTTTATCCCAACTACGCTATTCCTCCAAAGGTTTTCTATAATTGAAATTTGTCCATCATATAGTGAAAATATTCTACGTGCAGCAATAAGTAATGTAAAATAAGAGAAAAATGTTGTTAACAACACATGCCTCTATATTTTCCTTTAAACTTAGTACAAAAATTTTACATAATAGGTGGAGGAGTACAAAGAAACAACAGCACAAATTAAAGAGAAAAAACTTCATTATAACTGGAGCAATAAATTATAGCTTACATTAAATAAAAAATTTAGACTTAACCCGATACCTACCCTGTAAAAAGTGGATTCTCAAATGTCACGAAAATTTCGTCTTTTTGACGAAACCTTTTCCTTGCATATGGTCTGAGTAAAATTTTGCTCAAAGTGTCGAAATAACTATCGCCACTTCTTTAACGAATTTCATCAAAATTCAAGAAACATTTTATTATTCCAATTTTTTAAATAAAAAATCCCTCGAAGCACCTACTTGAACTTTTCCACCAAACACTTTACCGTGATTAATATAGAGGTTAATCAATGTTACCCTATCAGCACAAAAGGAACCAGCAGAACAGTTGCTGTTGTCGTAGTTAATTTACGTCGCACTAGAGCTGCAACATGGGCTATTGGCGACGGTTTGGGAACCATCCTTCAGGATGATCCGAAGACATGCCATCGCAATTTTGATCCTATGCAGAAGGGATGGCACCCCCACTTCGGTAGCCTGACGACCTGCACGCGAAATCGAGCACTTTACGGTAAAATAGTTTAACGAGGACCAATAACCACACACCCTCGGTTCCTACGCAGACTGATCTAAGTGGTCACCCACCAGCACACTGACCGCAGCCTGACCGCAGCCGTGTCTTAACGATCAGTCCACTGCGGGACCAGATAGAGCAAAGATATAAATTACACACATGCTCTAAGCGAGGTTCGAAGCTGCGATCTTCCCAGTACGAGTTCAACTCTTTGATCCCCATACAAGCCTATCGGCTGGTTTCGTCACTTTATTTCCGATCGTCTAGTGTTCGTTCTAGTTAATTCATCTGAGTTAACAATCTGTCACGTTGAACTACGATGAGATTGAGTTGAGGAAGCATTTTGTCATACATTTGAGAATTCGCGTTTTGTCCCAAATCAGGAGATTTAGCAAGGAAATGGTTCTCAATATTAATGAAGTACAGCTCAAAAGTCAAAAAATACAGCGAAAATAAGAAATTTATTTCTGATAGTGTGATAAAAATTATATTAAGAGACATGCGTTTGAAATCTAAGTCATCAAATGTGATAAATATATTTTGTACATGAATTATAGAAAAAAAATAATTTAAAACAATAAATAATAATTAAAATATGTATCCTCATCACAATAAAAATTCATACTTAGTGAGATAAGTTATTTGATATTAAATTATATCACGTTAGAAAATCTACAAAAGCAAATCTCAAAAGTGATTATGAAGGAGATATATGTGATAGATTCGTTGGCTGTCTTCAGGATTCGAACTAAGAATCACCGAAGTGTCCTATGATCTATTTGTACTCTTTAGCCAGGCAAAGTTAGAGAAGCAGATTTTAAAGCTAATTTCCAATTCCAATGGTACAAAAGGTTGCAATTTGCGAAATATAATCACAATAGCTTAGTTAGGAGTTCTTTAGTTTTAATTTTACTTTGTACTTATTTCTCTACATCTTAAAAACTTTCAAGTGAATGAATTATGTGCCATGGCGTGTAATTGTGGCTGCCCCCCTCTATAAAGCTTCCTAAAGCAAGATTTTTCCTAAAGGCAGCTTTCTTTACACGATATTAACAAAATGGACCCGACCGTTGTCTGACAATACCTTAGTCTAATGAAATACATTTCAGGAGCATACACGCTTTCCCACTCACAGATACGATAGTATTCATGTTAGCTACGATATAGGGATATCTTTCACGGAAACGACAAGCAGGATAAGCACACACGTATCCCACACATGTATCTATTTCACACAAATATTATTTTTTTCCTATTGCATTTGATTTTACTATTTTGCTTTATGTTTAATTAGGGAAATTAGTATCCGTTTAAATTAATAATTAAAATTAATTAATAATGTAAGTAATATCCGGTCTTTAAAAACCTATTGCATTTTCCTATTGCATTTGATTTTACTATTTTGCTTTATGTTTAATTAGGGAAATTAGTATCCGTTTAAATTAATAATTAAAATTAATTAATAATGTAATTAATATCCGGTCTTTAAAAAATCCATTATATAATTACTTTATTCAACATTAGCACCTTCCTGTTCGTAAGGTAGCCCGCCTATAAAAAATCAGAAATCAAAGATTTCGAGAATTTCACACTGCAGTTGAACAGTCGAACAGATTTAGGGTTTAAGGCTACCAATGCTCACGCTAATCCAGAAGACAAGGTTACTCCAGGATCAAGTATTGGGAGAAATTGCCATCGTGGATTATTTTTTTATGTAACTAACCCGCATTACATGGAGAGGAAAAATACGATAACCTTCCATGGTTAGCCTGAGAGCAAGGAGACTCTAACTCATGATCCGTCTACCACGGAGGATATTTTCTTACGTCAGCACTGTCGTCGGTGCGAGCCGGGTGCGGAATTCAAATCGACCAGCTTTTACTAGGATTGAGTCATTTCACTCCGGTACTAAAAATTGTTCAGTCACAAATCAAGACAATATGCAAGCGTAATAAACTTATATTGAGACGAAGCATCTCAAAGGATAGAGCACTCTCCTCCCAACGAGGTAACCTGGTTGTGAATCCCAACAATGGCTAGAATTCATTTTGCACCCCCGGCTCTCACCGACCACAGCGCTGACGTGAAACCCCTCAGTTAGTTCCCTTGCAGTCAAGCTAGCCTTAGTTTGTTTTGTGGTTTTCCTCTCTATTGTAATAAATAGGAATTTATTGGAGTTTTTTTTTTTTTTTTTTTTTTTTTTTTTTTTTTTTTTTTTTTTTTTTTTTTTTTTTTNTAGATGGCACCACTAGGATAGAATGTAAATGCAATCAAAATTATATTTTGGGAGAAATTTTTATTGATCCTTTGAAAATTGTATTTTTGGGGTAAATTGTGGATATAAATTGTATTAACATTTAGGGAGGTTTGGATTATCACTTTTATGGCGTATTAGTGGGTTTGTAGCTGGTTTTTCTTGTGGTTTTTTTTTTTTGTTCTGACGTCCACTGGATGCGGGATGACTTTTGAGCGAGTAAACAGGTCAGTATGGATTATTCCGCCTTGCTGAGAAAAGTATAAGAGGCGTGAAGAGTGGCTGAAAAAGTAGTACGACGGGAGTGTGGATCGTGCCCGATGGAATGTTGAGTTGAAACATCACCGCTGACAGGATCTATCATAGCTGTTAGAAGTGTGTTCTGAGCCGGTATCATCGAGAATAAGTTTAGATTTAGCTGGAGTCTCGGAGTGAGTTGATCTAGGCGGAAATGCTGAAAGGTTGATATTTGGAAAGAGTCCCTGGATACCGCGATTAAGTACGCCACATTGATCGGATGAGCTGTTGCCTGGAAGAAAGTTGATCTGAAGCCTCAGAATAGTTGACGGGAAATGATAGACGGAGTGTCGCTAAGTTCAAGACAGTTGGCAAGAATTGAGCGTTCCTCGGCAGAAAATGGAGTGTTTCTAAAGAACTGAATGGTGGTCGGAAAGTCGAAGTTCTCCTAGTCCACAAGTCTAGCTGCAGGCCCGGTGGGCGTTCCAGAAGGTGATCTGCAAGTTCCTTTGTATTTGTAAACTCTAATTTCTTGCCTTTTTAGTAACTTTTTAGAAGAGCATTTTATTCCGTATTTTAAATTATTTCTATCCGGTGTTAAGATACCTATTTTAAGATGAGCCTTGGATATTTAATTTAAATTATCTGTTGTAGGAATATAATGACCTAAAATTTAAATGTTTTTGTAAATTTAGAATGAGCTAGGATTTTTATTTCGTAATTGTCTCTTTTAGTGTGAATTAATTGAATGTTATGCCTATGAAATTTAAAAGTGCTTTTTATCGAAAAGTTTTATCTTGAGTATAACCATTTGGAAATTTAAAAGTGTATAAATTGAAATTTTTAGTGCATATGAAGGCATCTGGAAATGATCGGGATTGTGTTTGTTGATAATTTATAATTATAATAAAATTTACTTTTTATTGTTAAAAGTTTCATGTACTTCATTAGTTAAGTGTCTATTTTTGAACCTGGGTAACCGTTACCAAAATTCAATTAAAAGATCACCCACTGGCCAAAGTTTAAAGGGGTAACGGTACATTATGTAATAAGTATTTACGTAAAAAAGTTTAAATATGTCAATATGCTTATTTGATGTGCTTAATTGGCCTTAAAATGGATTTTTGCTTGTCTACCAGTTTTATTTAACTTTTTTTAATGTTTTTACGAAAAATTTGCCTTATTAAAAACTTTTCCTTTCTTAAAATTGTTACAAAAACTCAATATCATTACATTTTCTTACCTACAATAAAAAAGAAAAAAAATATTGTAACAGTTAAAGTTTCATCACCTTTTATTTTTAAAAATTTCTAAAATTTAACATATATACTGAAGCACTTTGTTACCGAAAAATGGCAATTTAAGATTTTAAACAAGTTCAGTTGTAACCAGGAGTATTATATGTATTTCAGAAAAAAATTTTTATTTTATTTTCTATTTTGTCACATGGGAATTCGACAGCTGTAGCTTGCACTTTGAGGCATGAGCACTTAAAAAATCTCAGCGATTTATGCAATATTTATTTAAACAAAAAGAAAAGAAATCATAAGCATTTTTCTCGAATCAAAACGTTTAATTCATTAAAAGAAATTTACATCAGATTATATTTAATACTTCTTCTCTCGCTAACAATTCACTCTTTATAACTAATACCTTCATAACGTTTCTTCTGAAAAAGAGAAAATAATACATGTCATTATACTTGTCATAAAATAAAATGAATTCGCATAACACTTTCATTTCAATTTTCATTTTACAAAAGTTCATAACGGGATTCATTTTTCTAATGAATCTTAGCATGAATCTTGCGTATTTTTCGTCAATACCTTTCCACAAACTTATAGCAAGTGCCTAAGTTTCTATATTTTATAAAAAACAAGAAAGTTATCCAAATTATAGATGTATAGTATCATTATGGTACTATACAGCTATAACTTTAATCATAACTATAGTCGTCTTTAATGCACAGCGATAGATGGCCTATACTGTAAAAATTTTCAATTAAAATTGCAGTAAATTTGTATGAAATAAGAAATCTAATCATCTTTATTTTACAGTTAAAATTAGCTTAAAATCACTGAATCACTGTAATTAATTAAATATTATTATAAAAAATTTTGTACAAAAATATGCTAAAAAAATGCATATTGCGAAAGATGCATTTTAATTACTTTAACTGTGTACAATCCTTGATATGTCAATGATTAATGAAAAGTGACCATCACTTCTCAATTTTGTGTAGTCTTGTTCCCTGAAGTCAATAATGAGATGGCCGCTGAATTTATAGCATCTATCTTATAATATTCAACTGCATTTTCATCGGGAACAAATATCGGATTATGTATGAGCTTTGAAGCTACATCTAGTTAAGAAAAAATATAACTGAAGAATAATTGAAAAAGTATAATTGAATAACAACAGAATACTAAATTTCTGATTTTTATTTGACCCCGAAAAAAAAATTTATAAAAAATTTTACATACGTTTGTTGTCGTGAAAAGAACCAATTTGTCCAAATTGATAATCAAGTTTAATTGCATTAGCTGCAATGCCTTTCAAAATATTGGAGGTATTTTTGAATATATTGCAGCAAATGTATTGCAACCATATGTATAGAAGCAATATATTGCAGATAGATAACAATCTCTCCTCTATGGTCAATTAAGTTTGAAAATTAGTTTTTTATTTAAAGCTACCTGGTAAAATAAGAAAAGACGAAAAAAACCAGTCACTGATATTCAGCAAATAAATCGAAGCACCATTTACAGAACTAATTAATTATCTTAAAATTAATTGAAAAAAAAATTATATCATGTATTTTTGCAGGATTCGCTTTATGTTTAACGCAGATAAAAAAAACAATAATGTGGTTCTCAGAAGTTTTTATACAAAGTTAAATAACTAAAGTGATATACTGAGATTTTTTAAATATTTACACTAAAAGTGATACATTATTACTTTCGAAAATACTGTGAAACTAAGATAGGTAATCTATTGATCTTATTTTTTAAAGTATTAAGTCAAATATTTCTTTTACTATTCCATTTCAATTTGTTGTTGATAAATTTGGTTTAATTCTGTAATGTTTCTCTTAATTATAGAATTATACTGGTATTTAAAACTTATTTTATTTAAAACAATGTAATATGATTTTGATAATTACATCATGGTCCATAGAAAGGTGTGCATACGGGACAACAATCACATTTTCCTCTTACATCTCGCTCAGTTACTCTGCATTTCACTTGTTTGCATTTAGCAACTCTGCAGTCAGTTGTGCATTGCATATAAGCAGTTCCAACAAACGCAAAAAGTAACAGAATAACAAAAACTTTGTACATGTTTATTTTTCTTGTGCTCAGATTCCTGGAATATAAAATTAACCAATAAAAAAACTGTCGAATTAAATTTTTTAGTTTGCTATAAGTTTTTTTCAAACTATTTTTAATAATTCAAATTTAATAATTCAAATTTTAATAATTCAAATTTATTTCAATTTTTTTTAATAATTTTTCGATATTCTTAATAATTTTCAGCGTTTTTTCCCTAAAAATAAATCATTTGGATAGAAATATACACTAATGTGACTTATTATTTATATTATCATTTTTTTATTCATACATATATTTTATTAATTATTTAATATGAATATAAAATAATTTTGATCTTTAGTTATTCGATATTTCTCTTCAACTGCATTAATTATAATGATTCTAAATCAAAGTAAAATGCGAATGACTTTTAAGTATGATAAAGCCTTTGCAATGTAACATTAAATTAAGAGTTCAGTAATCAATTTAACATTCAACTAATAGTTGCGTACTTAAATAATAGTTTAGAAAGACCGTGTTACTACATCAATATCAATTTTAAAACAACTTCATGCTGCTTTATAACAAGTATGTTTGTGAAGTTTATTTTTATACAAAAGAAATGCACCCTTTTTGCAATTATAATATATTATTATAATTTTAATAAAATGTAAGTTAGTTATAATTTTAATAAGATATCGTAGTGCATTTTATACAAATACACATTGTTTGAACGAAATGCTTTCATAAATAAAAACAATGTTGTAAACTATTTAGACTACACTGCTATTAATATTTTCTAAACTTTCGTTGAGACTTAAGTAATGATATGATTGCCACGTAAATATTTATAATTAAGTAACTGAATTCTGGTTTCTTTAAATTAAGCAAATAATTAATTATCTATCGCGAAAATGATTTTGATGACAAGATTTATTTATATAAATACAGAGTATATCACACTTTAACTATTAGGTCTCAACTTATTAGAGTAATAATAATCTAATCTTCATGATTCTTATTAAATAATATTCTAATTGATAAATTTTTATTAATAATCTAATATAATTATCTTTATATTTACTTTATTCGTTGCGATGCTATGGATTTTCTACAAAAGAGTTTTAGCGTTCTAATACATTTTCTATTACTTCGTCTTTCTTTATTGTTTAATCAGGTACTTTATTGTTTAATCAGGTCAGATTCGTGAAAGCAATAAATCATATCAGAACTGAAATGTCATAGAAGCAAGATGACTTTCAAATATCTAATTACTGCTGAATCAGGAAAAGTATTAAAATTACACTAAAATGACATCAACTGTTTTGAAATCTGACAGCTTTGTAAACGTCATTAAAGGAACTAAGTGCGATTTTAAGTTACTGGTGTTGTAATAAATCTCGATTTTCTAGCAGTTGTAATGTTTGAAATTGTATTCAGTTTCGTTCTTTTTATTTCGTTAAACTATTTTGAGGTAACAAGGAATAAGTTATTGAGTTATTCCTTAAATAAACAAAAAATAATGGTAATATGACTGTTTTGGAAACTTTCTGAAATTTATTAAAATAAACAAGATTTTACGAAAAATGTAAAATGTGAAGATTGTATTTGCATATAGCAATGTTTTTTTCATTTTAGAATCTAAGATACAACCTACACATTTCAAACTAATAAATATACAGATGTTATCTCACAAATTATTGTAATAATCACACGAACCTTTCAGTTATTTAATGCCCTAAAAATTATCATAGAATGATAAACTCCGAAAATTTTAGTTTAAAGACAGGTGTAATTTTTAAATTGTATTCTATTTTTTAACACATATTTTTACATTTGTATCTTTCGTTCAAATTATTTTGACTTCATGAGTTTTTATTAACGAAGACAATTTACCAAATGATTCTTTCTTAAACTAAAAGTAATGGTTTCATTAAAAATTTTGAAATTTTTAGACTTTATAAAATTAGTAAAATGTATATATCAATAAATTAATAAGAATTGTGTTTGGCAAATAATCACAATTCTCAAAATTTTGGTATCTTAGTATAGAGGAGATGTCTGATATTTCTAAGGCTTATTAATAACTGCTGTCCCATAAATTATTGTTTAAAGACAAACACAAAACTTTTTCAGTAATTTCTAAGAGGTTATCACACAAATAAAAAAAAACTGTGGTAAAATTACATCACTGTATGGTAATGACGTTTCTAGAAAAAAAAACTCTTTATTTTGGCTAAGAAAATTAAAATATACGGAGTTTAAACTATGTAAATTCTCTGTTTAATAATAAGAAGGACAACTGGATATTTTCGTTTTAAAAATTACAGTTCTTATTAGAGAACACATAGTAAAAAATTAAAAAAGATGGAGTAGTAAATATAACTTAAAAGGAGTTTTTATGGCATGTTCTAAAGTAGCATGATATATAACCAAATTTTATTTCATTTACCTTATTTTATATCATATTATAACACCATATTTTATTTCACTAATTTTGCCAAATTATTACTAAGAATTTCCAAAAAATTACAGAACTTTTTATTGTTCTGTAGAGCCAGAAAAACGGTAAATTTTACCATAGTCTATTAGTTTTGACCATGCTTCTTTCTGATTGAAAAATGACAAAAATATAGAAAATATGATTTCAATTTGAAATAAAAAGGAAAGTTGGGTTTACTCTATATGTGTCTTTAATATGGTTACCTATTTCCTGGTTGAAAAATTCATTCCCTTTGAAAATATACCTGTATGAAACAAGAAACGACATATCTTAGAGTTTCAAAAGTAAGCGCCCATTTTTATGACTTACCAGATGCGAATGTAAGGAAACAAAAATGATTTAAAATGAAATATATATATATATCAATATATATATCTTCTCAATCTTATTATTTATTTTTATTTTACTGAGATCTCCAATCCTCGTTTAGAACTATCATTTGCTACTTGTAATAGCAAGTAGCGAATGATACATCTATGTCGTTGATGCTGGCCATGAAAGATCATCGATAATTGCTGCGATATTTTTAAAACAAAAAACAAGCAAGGAAAAACTTAGACATTGCTTTAGAATCAAATAATTTTATTTGTTTGGAAGCTTTATGTCACATTATCTTTCATTTTTCCATTTCTTGCTAACATTGCAATCGATATCATCATTTTTTCTATAATATTTCATCTGTAAGAGAGAAGATATAATTGCATTTATTAGTTCAGTTATTTCTTTAATTTAAAAATTTCATTTTCAAATTAATAAATTGTTTTATTTTTCATAAAATATGTATTTGTTTACTGCTACTGATTTTTCATAAATCATCAATAAGATTTCCGGTCTATATTTTCTCACTTTATGAAAAAGTAAGATTGCTATTCAGAGCAGAATATTACTATACAACAAATTCAATAAGTTATGATTACCTAAGGCTTATAACCAGTTAGCGTGAAATGTTTCTTAAGAATTTACCTCAATTTTAATATGGAAATTTTTTTTTTTTTGAAAATTCAGAAGGTTTATTTTTGATTTATATCATATTTATCAAACATACGTATAATTTAAAAATTTAAAAAAAAATCTATTTTTTAATTTAATCAGGATAATTAAGAAAACTACATAGATGCCAACTGTACTGGATATACTAGTAGACTACTGGATTTTGACAGTTTCTCCTAGTATACTGGTTTAATAAAAGTTCTCCTGGTTTTTCCAAGTTTTGGAAAATTCCTTAAAACTGAGTAAATTTCGTAAAAAAATTCCGATTGAAATAGAATTTTTATACAATTTATTGCTTACTTGAATATTTAAATAAATATTACTAATAAATAATGAAGGAAGACTCATTTACAATAATCAGCTTAATGCTTATTTATATTTTTTGTACTAAAATTTTCAATTTATCTTTATTTAGAATTATCTTTATTTAGACTAAACTAATTAAAAAAAATTTAAAATATCAATATTAAATTACTTATTTACTAATATTCAAAATTATGAGTTAACATAATAATAAACATTTAAAATTTAAGCACATTTTATGTCAATCATAAATGGAAAAGATTGCAGACCATTTGTCGTGCTTACTGTAATAAAATTTTGCATTTTGATTACAATAAAATTGCTTATTTGTAAAATATTTAGTACATTATGCAGCAGTAATCAGGAAATTTGTATTTCGTAATATAAACAGGAATTTTTCCTATCCATGTTGACTGCTATGTAAATATTATTTGTATTAAATATAGTTAAATAATAGAATGTATTAAAAAATTATTGTGAAAAAGGGTTTCTCAAAATTGAGAAAGCATCTATTAATTTTTGAGCAAAATGCATTTGGAGGGAAGCATGTGCGAGAAACACGCTGGTCTTTGCCTGCAGGCTTTGTATGACTGACTTCCGAGTTCGTAGAAGAAAGCTCTAGCCACCATATTCATACACCAGTGGAGGAAAAGCTTGTTCCTACGTGTACATATTGCTCAAAAATAAGTATCAGCTGTAGCTCAAGTAAAAATATCATCTTTGAATACGTGAGGTTTTGAAACATGGCTTTTTTTTTGGTAGGCTGACAAAGCTGTGATCAATTTTGTGATACCAAGAAATTTAAAAGATAAACATCTTTAAAAAATACTGGCATTCAGCAGCTACGCATTTTACCATATAATCTATATTTACTGTAAAATTTTACGAAAGAAAAAATTGATATACTTAAAATTGATTGTAAAATGGATATTATGGATCATGCACAAAGAGTGTAAGTCGCAATTCGTGCCGGGGGTCCTTTTCGGCTTTCTTGATGATAAAAATAACTCCATCACCATACACGTTTAATGATCATGTTTTGAGGATGGGTAGCCTGATATTGAGCCGTCAAAACATGTTGACCTTTTCCACCATACTAATTCTTTTAATCTAAGGAAAGTTTCTCATTCATTAAAGGGGAAAACTTACATTTTACTATAATTTATCTTTTTAAGATAACTATCAAAATATTGAAATTATTTTCATGAAAATGGGAAAGTTACAGAAAATTGTCGAAAACAGTGTGTGCTGAGATCTATGCTGATGACAGCATGAAGAGCGGAGACCTGTATGAACCAGTGAATAGTTCAGTTGATTAACCCTTTCCGACGCAGAGTTTCCAGTTTGACAACAATAAATCCATAAATGTTACAAATAACTAGGAATGTAAATTTGTTCAGCTTCCACTATTCGTTAAGCGTTAAGGATTAAAAGGATTAAAAAATTTATTCAGTTATTAAAAAAGAGTCGTCTTTCTTACAGGGTTCTACCCTATCATTTTCCTTAAGATCAATGCATTATTTACTGCATAATTATATTGACTTTTTTTTTAAAATGTGAGCTTTGCACATTAAGGATAAAACAATGGATCATGTATTTCTCCCAAGTTGCTTTAATTTTAATCTAATTAACAATTTTTTTCTGATGTTTTTAAAGTACTTTTTAAACAAAATTAAGTAAAGTCAATATTCTGACATTTTTTTGTTTTAAAAATTACATTAAAATCATACAATATTGTTTCGAAAAACTTAAGGCTGTCTCGTGTGAGGTTAAAGAAAAATACAAATTTTAAAATTTAGAAATTTGACTTTAGATGTAATAAAAAAATGAAACAATATTGTTTTTAATAGTTGCAAAAATCCAGTTCTTTTTTCAATGATAGAATTGTAAATATTTCATAAATATAATGAAATGTAAAAAATTTTCATAGTTACATCATTTTTCATTCAAAGGTACACATACTGCACAACAAGAACATTCTCCTCTTATATCTTTTTCATTTATGTCGCAATCTTGTATGCATTGAGGGAATCTGCAGTCAGTTGTACATTTCATATAAGCGGTACCAACAATCGCAAAAAGTAACAGAATAATTAAAATCTTGTGCATGATTTTTTCTTGAACTGAGGTCTCTGGAACATAAAAAACAATTAATAAATTATCGAAATTTTGAGTAGTGCTACATATTTCCCCTACAATTAGTTATTACAAACAAATTTTTTAACTATGATTCAAAACTGGATTATTCTGAATCTGATTTTCCTGGAGAAATACAGAGGGGGGAAGAAAAAATAAATTAATATGAGGAAAAATAATGGAATTATTGTTCTATATAAATTTACGCTTTGCTTAACAAATCCACTCGGCGCAAAAAAAAACAAACGTAATATTTGATTTAATAATTGGATCTTTACGTTCTGGGATTCAATCAAAAATAAATACAATTACTTATACGACTTTTTTAAATTTCAATTCGGCAGTAACTGGAAGACTGATTTAGAACAAATTTTGTATTTTGCGATGTGAAATTGCATTTTTTAATATGACGTAAGAAATTATTTATCATACAATTTATCATACAACTGTTAGTAAATTAAATAACAAAAATAATAAATATTAACTGAAATTTATTTTTTCCATGAAATTATGCTTGAATAAACGGTGTGTATAATTGCGTGCAAAATAGGTTTTATTTACTTAAAAAGTTTCTGAAATACGCAATAAGTAAAATTAACTTTAAGGGGTACAAACTGTTGTCAGCTTTCATGACCAAACTATTAAGGTTTTCATTGGGACCATATTGCAGGTATTCGCTATATTTTAGGTGTCAGAAATCCAAATTCTTTGAAAAAAAGTACGTTAATTAAAATAATAAACATTGTGTAATCTGATTTCGTATTTTACGGAGAATCTGTAGATCATATATTCCAAGAATGATGAGACTGACCTTTTTCTATGTACCTTTTCTAAGAAACTACTTAAGATATTGCTTTTAAATTGTTTTTTGGAGATATTTGAGATTTCATCATTTGCATGATATGATACTTTTTTTTGTGTTAACAGGAATACTTTTTGACTTATGAAAGGGTTTTGCTCCAGAATAATGAAACTTTTAAAAAAAATTAAAAGTTCTCTGTTCATAATTTTTTAAAGAAAAATCTAACAAAGATATGTTTTAACAGTTATCTTAGTATAAACAAGTATATGCAAATATGCAGTGATGAAAAAGCCTAAAACAATTTCTTTTGCAAGTCTAAGACAAAGGGCATCGAAAAAGATCAGTTTTAGCATTATTGGCATATGCCCTGCAGCGTCCCTTTAAAATATCGGCAGCAATAATCAATTACCATACTTGATGTCACCCCGTTGGATCATTAGGATTGAGTCCTAGATAGAGGAGATCCAATTGATACATCAAAAGCTATTCAGGGTTGTCCGTTACTTTTTTGCGCACTGTACATGTCTTTTTAAGCTGAAATAAATTTGTAAGAATTTCTACACAATTACTTGTAAGAAAAAAAAAAGAATGCAAAATTACGTATTTAATTCTTTGCGAAACTAGAAATTGCGTTGTCAATATGAATTACTCAAAATCGCTCTAAACAAAAGCAAACACTATACACTATCCTAAACTAATAGCATAATAGCAACATATTATTTTCTCTACTGTCAATTAAAAGCACGGAGTCATCCTTTAATCGATTCAAGAACGAGACAAATAACTAGTTTTCCCTTTTGATGCATTTTGATTAAAAGTCACTGACGTGGTACTTTAGAAGATCTCTGTTTTCTATAAGGAACGTGAAATGATATAACTTTTTTTTTTCAGTAGTTATGCGAATTTTATGTAATTAAAATAACTCGTTATCATATGAAAATACATATTTATTTCGAATAATATAAAGATATCTAATTACGATAAAACATACTGGTACTCATGGTGTTTGTACTTTTTACCGAAAAATCTATTTTTTCCGGAATATATTACGGAGAAAAAATAAGATATTCCGTAATTTTCACAATAATGATTACCGTAAAATCACTAAATTACTCTAATTAAACAAGTATTACTGCCTAAGTTAAGGTATAATATTTCACGGCAAACGTGATTTTTCGGATGTCTCACCCAAAGTGCCAGTACTTCATATCAAACATACATAACAGATAATTTGATGATTTGGTACAGAATTTTTTACTGTGTATTGTGTCCTTTTTCAGGCATAATGAATTATTTTTACAATATTTTTATTTCATTTACTTTTAGTTATTTTTTATTTAATATTTAAAATTAATATGCTTTTTTAATCCTTAATTCTTTTAAAGAGTTTCTTTCAACTATATTAAATATAATGCAAAATGTTTGTTTCTGAAAAAATCGAGGAATAGAAATTCAAATTTTCAGTTTAAAAGAACTTTCTAGATATTATTTGCGACATTAGTTTCGCGTTCGCTTTAATTGGATGGTCTTACGTGCGTTTTTAAAATTGATTTACTAACCCTACATGATTTTTGCATTTAGGTTCAAGTAGATTTTAAAATAGCTCTTTATTAAAGAGGTAATTATCTACAAAAATTCTGTTCTTCATTACAATTGAAAAACATTTAAAAATTTAAAAAATCCCTGCATCACTCTAATTAAATAACTGTAGAAACTGTAACTAGAGATTAACTGTAGAAATTACGATATAATATTAAACAGTAAAGCTGGATTTTACAGTAAAATAAAATTCATGGATGATGCACCCAAAGTGTCGATATATCCTAATTAGATCTAGAATGTTTTCAGTGCACTTGATCATACGAACTCATTTTTTGTTTTTCGTTTTAAAGATTTCATTATAATTTCAATTTAAATTGAAATTTTCAAATATTAAAATATTTACAACGTCTTTTATTTCTTTAAATTAACAACTATTACAAATTCTTTACAGTCTATATGCTAATGTTTGCGCATTTTAAAGACCGTTTTTCATCTGGCGCGATAATGCAAATCTGAACTGTTCTTACTCTTACAAAATAGATATTAAAAATGGTGTTAGTTAATGAAAAAATTATATAATTATTATTGCTAATATAATTAGAAACACATCATTTGGTACTCACGTTAATTATAGCAAGGCTATGGGTTTTCTCAAAAAGTCCTTAATGATGATATGCGTTAAGCGTTTTCAACTTACTTTCATTCCGTTATTATTTGTTGTTTAATCAGGCTCGTTTCTGTCAAACTCAGAAAGTAATAAATCAAACGGAAATGGAAATTTTATGCAAGCAAGAAAAGTTGTGAAATTCTGAACTATTTCAGGATCACGAAAAGTATTAAAAGGGAAATAGGATGACATCCAATATTTTGAAGTTGCACAGATTTGTAAATGTCATTAAGCGAATACTATGCAATTTTATGAGTATCTACAGTTAGATATCATTATATTTTTACTTTTTCAAAGTATTAAAGCAAAGGTATTATCTGTTTAATCTTATCGTAGAAAAAATTTCCAAGTGATTATTGTTGATGGTAAATGTTACGTCCCCATCACTATTCTTTTACTTGTATAGCTGAACTTTTATTTCAAAATATTGATAATGAATATGCGGGAACGAATCGCATATCGCATCATTTATATTTAGAACCAAGTTAGAATCAATATTGTTCAGGATAGTTAATAAGTATTTTCTTATAAATCATTGTTTGAAGACAACTACACATATCTTCTAGTTATTTATTATATATTCTAGTGGTAAACACGCTAACCGATGTTACAGAGGTATTCGCCTGGGTTAGATACAATTTTTGTTAAAACAACCTTAATAAAAATTTTAGATTTCATTATGGAGATCAGGAGTCCTAAGATTATAAATCTTAAATAAATTTCAAAATTTTATGAAAATACCTTTTCTCAAACTAGGCTAAAATTTGAGCATAAAAACTAAAAATCCTTTATGACATTAGCTCTAAAGAAATTGTAACGCCTAAATATAAACATAACTTTTTTATGTCAATAATATGGTAACCTATTACTGGCTAAAATAACTTATTCCCTTTAAAATATACCTGTATGAAATAACAATAGATAGATTTTGAGCGGTTCAAAAAAATGCGTCCATTTTGAGAACTTGCCAGAAGTAAATGTAAAGAAACAAGAATGATTTAAAATAAAAAAGCAAACTTACCTGTTAAAAAAGGGAAAAATAAGAGACGCATAAAACGCATGAGACAAGGAATGAAATATGAAAAACAGAAAATAACGGACTATCTTTCGTGTTTAAGTCTAAATTAGAAACTTCAATTGCTTAGAATGTTGGACATAAATTTATTTTCAGCAATGCTAAAAAATTTTTTCACCCCAATCACATCAGTTCATCTTGATAATATGGAATATTATTTTACTCATTGAATGCTGATTTTCTTGTTAACAACATTACTTCCACCCCATATTAAGAGAGGAAAGGTTTTGTGGTTTGTGGATCTCTTGTGTTTTTTCTGGTTTTCAGTTTCTCACTTTTATTTTTCCAGTTTTCATCGGCAACTTAACTTTTTTTTTATTTCAAATCATTTTTGTTTCTTTACATTCGCGCCTGCCAAGTGTTAAAAACGGGTGCCTGTTTTTTAAGAGCTTGAAACATGTTGACTGTTATTTTACGTTTGTACATTTTATATGCCACAGGTCCTGGGTTCGACTCAGCCTTTCATCCCTTCAGTGGGTCGATAAATGAGTACCAAGCATGCTTGGGAACTAAACACTGGGGGTTTCGCGTTCGGCTGACCACCAGACCGGAACATCTGCTCCTGCACCCCAGAGCCCAAGGTCAAGAAAACTGAGATGGATACAGTAGTCCTTGGTCCTATTTGGGCTATCGCGCCGCTGAGTTTAGTTTAAATTTTATATGCGAATAAAGTTTGCAACTATGATAATATCTTACCGCTTCGGTTTTTTGGGATTAATAGCTGAATGGTTACCTACGTTAATTATCTCATAGATCTTCCTGCTATTTTTCATCCGAAAGTTAATTTAAGTCGCTTAAAATTTTAAAACAATGGCGTTAATTTGAAGAAATAAATATTTTGTCTTTCTATGCCTTTTTTACATATCTCTTCTTCTGTGCTTCATAAGAAATAAATGTTTTTCACAAACATATAAATAGTCATTAGTAAATTTTAAAGCGTTGAAAGTTATTTTCTAAAATGAATACAATACAAACTTGCTGAAATTGAGCAAAATATTCTTAATCCGTGTGAAATTTATATTTTAGCTAAAAATTTGTATTGATGCCATTTTACATGAAACAGTTTAATTTTCTGAGGATAAAAAATTTAGATAAGCGTACTTAAGCTGCGTTTTGGAAAAACGAAATTCATGAATTTCATTTTAGCTCAAATATTTAAGGGAATTAATGAATGAATAAACTGAATAATTCTTTAAATGTTATCTTACTCACAATGTTTAGAAATTTTCTTCCAATTAAATAAATATCGTTTAAGCGTGTATTTTTAAGTAAGGGGAACAAAAACAACTTGCTCTATAAGACACTTTAATGGGTAAATAATTAAAGGAATCCTATGACATTAAATTCTTTACTATTCATTTTTAAATGCTATTTTTAAATTTTTTTTTTCAAACATTGGATTTAATTATTTATATTCTAAATAACAATAGAGTAATAATGTAATGAAATTTTCCGATTAAAATACATTTTCGATTGAAAATATTGTGGAAATGTTTTTTTTAAAAATTAGTTTCAAGAATAAATTTTTATTATACATGCATTTCAGTTTCAAAACGGTTAAGAAATTAAATGCATAAGTTAAATGTAAGTTTTATCCAAATTTTATTTATTATTTTTTAATGAAAAAATTGTCATAAATCATTATTTAAAGAATAACGTCATTCTTCTCTCTAAAACTTAGGAATTTCTGGTTTTGTTAAAAAAACACAAAAAAAACAGCAACTTCCGTTAAGAGAACGAAAATATTTCAATTGCTTGTTGAAATTTAAGGTATTAAATAGTTGGAAATTCATCAAAATATAAATCAAGACAGTTGCTATTAATTAAAAAATCCTATTAATTAAAAGAATTAATAAATGCAGAACGTATTCCGTTTTTGCGAATCAAATTTTATGTAAAGGAAGATAAAAAAAAAGTATGTATTAAAATTATATATTAAAGTCTCAATTTTCTTTAAAACGAGCTTGAGAATAAACTAAAATTTAAATTACCTCTCTTATTTTTCCTCCAGGCTTAGTCTATATCATCGTTTTATTGTATTATATTGAAACGTAGCTACATTTAGACTTAGCGTAGTATAACCGCCTGTGACACTTGTGTTAAGCATTACACTGAAAAAGAAAAAGAAAAAAAAAGTAATATGCAGCATTCTATTAACTCCTTCATCGCGACGGACGAGATAACTCGCCTTGCTGAAATATTCGCTCCATTGCTGCGTTAATGAATATGGATATTAATTGCATTTGACTGTTATTTTTTAAAGTAAAATATACAAGTTTGAAAAGATTTCGACTTTGGTTTCAATTTTCGTGAAGGCGAGGAACTCTTAGCGCAGAGGGTGGGAAAAAACAACGTCATTGTCGGATGAAAGTGTTAATAATTAATGAGAGAATTTCTTATTATAAATATAGTTAATTATAAATTTCTTAAGAATTAAAAGTAATATTTATAAATGCTTAAGAAAAATCCAAACTATGAAAATTTGGCTATGATTACACGGTGCTATTAAATGCCCCTAATGTTCATAATTGAGATTTTCCCTAACGTTTAAAAGTACTACACGCACAATCAACTCTAATTGTTGCGAGATTTTTTAAACACAAAAAAGAAAAAAACTTAGACATTGATTTAAAATCAAATCATTTTATTTATTTGGAAGCTTTTTCATCACATTATCTTTCATTCTTCTGCTTCTTGCTAACATTGCAATCGATGTAAAGATTATTTTTATAAAATTTCGCCTGTAAGACAGAAGATATTATTGAATTTATTAGTTCAGTTATTTCTTTAATTTCAATATTTTATTTTCGAATTAATAAATTGTTTTACTGTCCATAATTTATGTATTTGCTTACTGTTACTGACTTTTCATAAATCTGCCGGAAGTTTTCTAGTCTACATTTTTTCACTTTATGAGAAATTATGAATGCTATTCTGAGCTGAATATTACAGTGCCACAAATTCAATAAGTTATGATTACCTAAGTCTTATAATCTGAGAGCAAAGTGATCATCATTCACCGTGAAACTTTTCTTAGGAATTTAAATAAATTTTGATCTGACATGTTTTTGAAAATTAAAAACGTTTTTCTTTTTTAGATTTATGTGAGATTTACTAAATATAGTTATAAACTTAAAATTAAAAAAGAAACATTTCTTTTTTCAGTTTAAGCTAATCAGGATAATTAGGAGAAATACATAGCTACCAACTCCAGTGGATTTTCTAATTGGTATCAGGATTTTGCCTGCTACTCCTAGTCTACTAGTTTATTAGGTTTTCCTGGTTTTTGCATGCTTAAACAAAATGCCCTAAAACTGAGAAAATTTCTTAAAAAAGTCAATATTGAAATGGAATTTTTACCCTATTTATTGCTTGCTTGAATATTTAAATAAATATTACAAATTCATAATGAATCAAGCCTCATTTATAATAAACAGTTTAAAACTTATACATTTTTTTGGTTCTGAAATTTTCAGTATAGTTTTATTCAGAATTCTCATTTTAAACTGATTAAAAAATCCTCCTACATTAAATTACTTGTTTATTATTGCTTGTATTCAAAGTTATGAGTTAACATAATAAAAAGAATTTAAATTTAAATACATTTAATGTCAATCTTAAATGGAAAATATTGCAAACCATTTGTAGAGTTTACTGTAATAAAATGTTTGCTTGTTGATTAAAAGAAATTCCCTACAAGTAAAACATTTAGTACATTATGCAACAGTTATCAGAAAATTCATCTTTCGTAAAATATACAGGATTTTTTCCTATCCATGTTGGCAACTATGCAACTATTTTGTGTATGAAATATAGTTCAATAGTAGAATGTATTACATAATTATAGCGAAAAAGGGTTTCTCAAAATTGATACAGCATATATTCATTTTTGAGTAAAATGCAAGAAGAGACAGATATAAGTGAGAGCCTTGTTGGTGTTTACCCTCAGACTTCGCACGACTGACTTCCGGGTTCGTTGTAGGATGCTTTTGCCACTCTAGTTGTGCACCAGTGAATGAAAAGTCTGT